ACTGAAAGCATTCAGATCTTGTACATTGACATTGTCTGATTGAAAAAGAAAAGTGTTAACTGGTGCTTTTACAGGGCGTCATGTGTGATGACTTCTCTGTTGCTGGAATCTGAGCGCTCCTACATTTTTGATTCGCATTTTCCTCCAGCTGAACTTTCCCCTGGACTGCTCACAGCAAACTCCAGTGGGAGGTCATCTGCTAACCAACCAACGGAAAGCAAACCGCAAAAAGTAGTTTGCTCACTACTTACCATTTATTACCTACTTACTCTCTTGAATTCAAAGAGCTTTGGATTGGGATAATACAGGTATTGGGACTTTTCAAACAGACAGTTACTTTGGGTCCATTCAGTCCACTGGGCATTCATATTGTCTTAGGTAACAAAAACATTTTGAAACACAATGCTAAGCAGAAACTGAAGTGAGCTGAAGATTCTGTGTAATAATAAAGCCCCTTTATTATTGCTTGTCACATTTAATCATGTTGAAATGAGGGAATAGCAGCCGTCGTTGCTGTTTGGCCGTTATTTATCATGGGCTGTGATATGAGCCTCACCAATTCATCAATACATTTCCATTTCCAAGACTTCACAGTATATACAACTGCCCTGAAATTCACCTCTTACTTCCCTCGTCAAACCAACATCTTACAAGATGTTTTTTGGCCTGTAACAAATGGGACAAATGTTACTTTAATCATAGTAATTGTGCCTTAGACCTCTCAACCATGCTGAATTAAACTCCAATCTTCCTAGCGTGAGTATGTGCAATTTTTAGAGCTGAACAGGAACATTTGGGTGTGATTATATGGCTTTAATCTAATTGAGGGGTTAGGATGACACCATAACCAGGCGAGTGAAAATTAAATTGTTTACAATCATTATCCATATTCCAATAATAGATTGTTGCCTAGACAGCACTCCAGGACTCCACCCCGACCGTTAAAATATAATTTTAAATTTGTCACGATTTGTTTTGGTTTTGGTCTTTTACAGAAATAGCTTGCCAACACATTCCTTGGGTTGGGTTAGGGTCAGGCTGTTAGAGCCATTCCAGTGGTTTCAGTGTTCTGTTCAGTGACACAAACACCACTAAATAATAATAGTAATAATAAACCTTGCATTTGATAGAGTGCCTTATCACATGTCTGAGACGTCTTAAAGCTCTTCACAGAATATATTATGAAGTGAATTGACTGGGGGTAATAAGCACGGATGTTGGATTAGATTTCTAGTGTAGGCACAGATTATTTTATTTCTGTTATTGAGAAATGATTGAAAGAAATGATGCCAACAATCAGAGCCATCTTCAGTTCTGTGTTTCCGTGTGGAGTTTTACTGAAGTGGCTTTCTTACATTTTGAATCAGTTTTTTGCCTGTGGTGCATATATTTAACAGCGAGTGAGTGCCCTCTGTGACATTGATGTGTGATGATACCAACACTCAAGGATTATCAAGTGATTACTAGGAAATTTATACAATCAGTTGATGTTATTGAGAGATATATACAAGGTGTAGTGCTTGACTCATGTCATGTTGTTTCAGTTCTGGATTATATGGTATACTGGTGTTTCTTCTTCATTATCCTATAGAGACCTGTAGCTCAGTGGTTAGAGAACTCGCCTCACAAGCGAAAGACCTGGGTTTGACTCCCGGCAGGGGGAAACCTTGGGCAAGTTAATTTACTCCACATGCCTGATAATAATCCCTCAAGAAAAAAAATAATAAATAATTGGTCACTTCAGTCCACGACTGTTCGTGGGACACTGCTGTGTGCAATTGGCTGCTGCGTTTCGCCCACCAATGTACAGTCAATTCACTTTACAGTATATTCTGTGAAGGGCTTTGAGACATCTTAAAGATGTGAAAAGCTCTATATCAAACGCAAGGATTATTATTATCACTCAACTCCGTTACTTTGTGTTTTTCTAGGTTGCTTTAGGAACATAGGAAAACTGGAACAGGAGGCCATTCAGCCCATCAAGCCTGTTCCACTAGTTTATTAGATATCAATAGATCCTTTCATCCCAATGCTACATCCCAAAGCCCTTTCGTCACATCCCCTTAATCCCTCCACTACCCCAGTCTCTGTTGGTTTCCCTATTAAACACCACTATTGATCCCATCTCTATAGCTTCCTGGGGCCGGGTGTTCCACAGCTCAATTAATTCAAAACTCCGCTACCTGGTTACTCATCGGCACAAAACTCCGTACCCCCATCACAAAACTCCGTACCCCCATCACACCAGCCCTTGCCAGGCTCCACTGGCTCCCAATTACCAAACGGATCGATTTCAAGATCCCCTCGCTCGTTTTCAAATCCCTTCGGCACCGCCTTACCTAACCCGATCTGCTTTCCCCCCGCCCACACTCCACCACACGTTTGCTGCCTCCAATCGGCTGGCTCCAACCTCCTGTTCGTCCCCGGTCCCCTCCGCTCCACCATGCCTTCAGCCACTACACCTCAAGACTCTGGAACTCTCCCTCAATTCCTCCCCCTTGCCCCCTCCCTCCCTACTTCCAAATCCTGCCTAAAGACCTTTTTTTTCCATCGTGCTTACGGTCACCTCCCCAATCCCTCTCCCCCTGGCTCGGTCTCAGACTCCGCCACTGTCAAGCGCCTTGGGACGCTACCCCCATGTGAAAGGCGCGATATAAGTGCTAGTTGTTGTTGATGTACAGAGTGGAACAGGTAGTGTTTTGATTGATGCGTTAATTGTCTGAAAAATACAAGATTCTATTATACATATGTTTCAAGATCCCGGTGAGACAGATAAAACGCTTGGCACGACAACCGAATCACCAGATACTCCACACCATGTTAGAAACAGAATGGCCATAAATTTCCCAGTAATGAGCTGCAATCACGCTCTCAACCTTCAGTGATTACGAAATAATCCTCCGACAACAGGGAATCCGGCCGTGAGGAGCATCACCGGCAAGTGGGAAAACTACTGTAATCCTAAAAAAAATGTTACACCAACCCCAGACACTCGGGGTTGACTCGGGTTGGCTCAGATCTCCTTATATCAGACTACAGTACAGCGTAGTAACACTTGACGTCTGACACTGACTACGTGGCTTCCCAACCTGGGACATGGCCACCTTCTGGGCTATCGAAAAATGTGGCGGCTCAATCCGCGATTGTCTGCGGGCGCCGCTGTGCGCGATTGGCTGCCGATGTATCTATCGTTCACAGTCCATTCCCTTCACACACACACAATACAAACACAAAACTACAATTGTAAAGCGCCTTTCATCTCAGGAGGACATCCCGAGGCTCTGGGGGGCGGGGCTGAGCGGTGCTGGGGGGAGGAGCTGAGCGGTGCTGGGGGGAGGGGCTGAGCGGGGCTGGGGGGAGGGGCTGAGCGGGGCTGGGGGAGGGGCTGAGCGGTGCTGGGGGGCGGGGCTGAGCGGCGCTGGGGGGAGGGGCTGAGCGGTGCTGGGGGGCGGGGCTGAGCGGCGCTGGGGGGAGGGGCTGAGCGGTGCTGGGGGGAGGGGCTGAGGCTGGGGGGAGGGGCTGAGCGGTGCTGGGGGGAGGGGCTGAGCGGTGCTGGGGGGAGGGGCTGAGCGGGGCTGGGGGGAGGGGCTGAGCGGTGCTGGGGGGCGGGGCTGAGCGGTGCTGGGGGGGCGGGGCTGAGCGGTGCTGGGGGGAGGGGCTGAGCGGTGCTGGGGGGGCGGGGCTGAGCGGTGCTGGGGGGGGGCTGAGCGGTGCTGGGGGGAGGGGCTGAGCGGGGCTGGGGGGAGGGGCTGAGCGGTGCTGGGGGGAGGGGCTGAGCGGCGCTGGGGGGAGGGGCTGAGCGGCACTGGGGGGAGGGGCTGAGTGGAGCTGGGGGAGGGGCTGAGTGGTGCTGGGGGGAGGGGCTGAGCAGCGCTGGGGGAGGGGCTGGTGGTGCTGGGGGAGGGGCTGAGCAGCGCTGGGGGAGGGGCTGAGTGGTACTGGGGGAGGGGCTTGAGCAGCGCTGGGGGAGGGGCTGAGTGGTGCTGGGGGCGGGGCTGAGCGGCGCTGGGGGGAGGGGCTGAGCGGTGCTGGGGGGAGGGGCTGAGTGGAGCTGGGGGAGGGGCTGAGTGGTGCTGGGGGGAGGGGCTGAGCAGCGCTGGGGGAGGGGCTGAGTGGTGCTGGGGGGAGGGCTGAGCAGCGCTGGGGGAGGGGCTGAGTGGTACTGGGGGGAGGGGCTTGAGCAGCGCTGGGGGAGGGGCTGAGTGGTACTGGGGGGATGGGCTGAGCAGCGCTGGGGAGGGGCTGAGTGGGACTGGGGGAGGGACTGAGTGATGCTGGGGGCGGGGCTGAGTGATGCTGGGGGCGGGGCTGAGTGATGCTAGGGGCGGGGCTGAGCAGCGCTGGGGGAGGGGCTGAGTGGTGCTGGGGGCGGGGCTGAGTGATGTTGGGGGCGGGGCTGAGCGGCGCTGGGGGCGGGGCTGAGTGGTGCTGGGGGCGGGGCTGAGTGGTGCTGGGCTGAGTGATGCTGGGGGCGGAGCTGAGTGATGCTGGGGGCGGGGCTGAGTGATGTTGGGGGCGGGGCTGAGCGGCGCTGGGGGCGGGGCTGAGTGGTGCTGGGGGCGGGGCTGAGTGGTGCTGGGCTGAGTGATGCTGGGGGCGGGGCTGAGTGATGCTGGGGGCGGGGCTGAGCGGCGCTGGGGCGGGCCAGGGCTCGGCTGTGATTACCGGTCAGTGCGCGTGCGCGGCGATGAGGTGAGGCCGCATCTTAGACAAAATTTGGTGACCGTTGCAAACCCCTCAGTCCCCGCGATCCCCACAGCCCCCCCCCAAACCGCCCCCCACACAGTCCCCCCCACAGCCCCCCCCCAAACCGCCCCCCCACACAGTCCCCCCCACAGCCCCCCCAAACCGCCCCCCACACAGTCCCCCCCCACAGCCCCCCCCCAAACCGCCCCCCCACACAGTCCCCCCCACAGCCCCCCCGCGCACCCCCCCCCCACAGCCCCCCACACTCCCCACACCGCCCCCCCCCCCCCCCCCGGCCCAACCCCCCCCACGGTTCCCTCACCCTCTCACCCCCTCCTCGGCCTCACGATGATCTGTTTGGTTTTGGCCATTTTAGCTCATGCATTCCAGACAGGTGAGTGGCCCCTCCCACCCTCACCCCCCTCCCACACCCCCTCACACATACCCTCACACACACCCTCACACACACCCTCACACAACCCCTCACACACCCCCTCACACAACCCCTCACACACCCCCTCACACACACCCTCACACACCCCCTCACACACACCCTCACACAACCCCTCACACACCCCCTCACACACACCCTCACACACCCCCTCACACACCCCCTCACACACCCCCTCACACATACCCTCACACCCCCTCACACACCCCCTCACACCCCCTCACACACCCCCTCACACACCCCCTCACACACCCCCTCACACACCCCCTCACAACCCCTCACACACACCCTCACACACACCGTCACAGACACCCTTACACACCCCCTCCCACACCCCCTCCCACCCCCTCACACACACCCTCACACACACTGTCACACACACCCTCACAAAAACTCACACACCCCCTCACACACACTGTCACACACACCCTCACACACCCCCTCACACACACTGTCACACACAGGGACACTGATATACACAACAGAACAATTTCGGGGCCGGGGCGGGGGGGGGGGGGGGAAGAGGCCAAAAAATACGGGCAAGGAAACGTCTCAAGACGGAGGCTGAGGCGGGGAGGGGGCGATGAGGAGAGATCGCGGGACAGAGTTACACTCAGTGGTTCGGGGCGGCCCCGGGGAGCAGGTCGGTGCCCGCTGACCGGAGGTGGTGGCTGAGGTGGGGGCGCAGACACGATCTGGGGGTGTGGGGAGCCGGGCGAGGGTGGGGGTGACAGGCTCGCGGAGCCTGGTGCGGGAGAGGACAAGAGCAGCAGAGTTCTGGATGGTCGGCAGCTTGTGTGGGGGTGGAGGGGTGGTGGGTGGGGTGGGTGGGGGAGCAGAGCCGGGGAGTCCGGTGAGCAGGACGGAGGAATAGTCCAGTCTGGGTGTGATGAAGGAGGGAACGAGGCGGGCAGTGCTGCAGAGGTGAGGGGATGAGAGCCGGGGTGTGGCTGTTAAAGCACTGTTGGGAATCAAACAAGACTCCTCGACTTGGCAGCGAGTATCGTGCAGGTCGGTGCGGTGCGCGCGCGTGTGGCGCGAAGCGTTCGAGACGCTGTCCGGCATGAAGGGCGCTAGATCAGTGCAAGATGTTGTTGTCGTTCTCGAGAAAGAAGCTGCCGGAGCCAATCGTCCTCTGTCTGGTCAGCATTAGTTGGAAGTTTCAGGTCGTCCTGGAAGTGATGTCTGACAATCAGTTAGAACAACAGTGGTCCTGGAGTCCAAGCTGAAGGCAGTTAGGCATCAGCCGCAATTAGGAGGAAGCTGGATAGTAAATTTAACCCTTACAAGGCTCGTGTAAGGGTTAAAATTACTCTGTACGATGTGAGGATAGGTATTGATGTGAATCGTGAGAGACTGTATATGAGAATATGTTAAGGATAATCTCTATTGTAAGTGGAGAGAGGGAGACGCAGCTGTGGAACCTGACACAGCAACTAAACTGTGAAAGCTGCGGTCAGCGGAAGCTGCTGTCACAGCCTCTGCTCGTTGGGCAACTGAGGTGAACGGGGTGAAACCTGGTCTTTTTCTGTTTGGTGCTTAGCATTGACGGGGATCCACGAGCGCACCTTCATCGCCATCAAACCCGATGGAGTCCAGCGTCGCCTGGTTGGAGAAATCATCCGGAGGTTTGAGCAGAAAGGATTTAAACTTATCGGAATGAAGTTAATGCAGGTACCTAACACCTGTCTGAACATAGAATTATTACACTGAACTAAGTTTTTCTTCAAAGAACATCCCTGCGATTGCCTGACGAGTGTATGCTGGTGGCACTTTGTTAAATGCGTTGATTTGATGCTGATTCACAGTGAACAGAATAGAATTGTCATTAAAAGCTGAGGAGTTTCTCAGTCTTCATAGGCTTCAGTGAAATGATGCACAAATAATCTGCAGTAAAGCTTGGGGACCTGCAGGAGTATAATTCATCCAAAGAATGATGGAGCCAAAGTTCTACCAAAGAAATGAATCCGTTCTCAATATTTTTTGTTTGGTCAGCTGTGTGTCTGATACACACGGAAACCGATCACTGTGCTTAAAAAGCGTATCCAAACCAGACTGAAAGTTCCATGCATCCATGGAAATTGCCGTATCTGTAATGGAATTCACACTCTCTCCCTGGAAGGAGAGTGCAGGTTGGCAACAGACCCCAGAGTGTGTGTTGGGGTAACTGCTGGAGTCTAACCAGCTAAAACCACAGAACTTGCCATTGAGAGCATGGACTGGCAAGCTTTCCATTGCTTATAAATTTCTATGGAATATTGGTTATGTATCAAATCCTAAAATGTATTTGGTCCATTGTTATTGTCGGTTAAAATAAAAATTGATATATGTGAGTAAAGTGGTTTTGGTGAGAGCCTATATGTGAGTAAGAGGCTAGGCTTGGTGTGATAATAACTGTTTATATTGTTTACCGGTTTTGTTATCCAGGCATCAGAAGACCTGCTCAGAGATCACTACTTTGACCTTAAGGATCGTCCATTCTACAACAGACTGGTGAAGGATATGGCCTCTTCCCCCCTGGTTGCTATGGTATATGATAAAATTGGAATTCTTTTTCTTAAGTTTAAAAGTTCATCACAGACCCGATCAAACCACGGAAGGTCTCCTGCAAGTTAGCTTGTGAATTTTGAGTTGTAGAATTCCGTTTTAATATGGAAGGATCCTACCACAGTAAGCCTTGGATTTGATAGGGTGCCTCATCACGTTGTTGAGATGTCTCCAAATTCTTTATAGTAAAGAGTCGTTCCCCACCTTCGCAACATTGCCCGGCACTGCCATTGCTACTGCCTCTCCCCTCAGGCTTCCGGGACCCTTTCCCATGCATTCATTGCACCCAGCCTCGACTATGCCAGTTCCCTGCTTTGTTCAAAATTGTTCTCGCCTTCAAAGCCCTCCACAGCCTTGCTCCTTCCTACCTCTGGGGCCTGCTAACTCCATATCGACCTGTCCACTCCCTCCGTTCAGCAGTCTGCTCCACGTCCCCTACCATTGGAGTTGAGCCTTCAGCCTCTCTGCCCCCACCCTTTGGAACTCCATCCCACATCCCTTCACCTTGCTCCCTCGCTTGCCTACTTCATGGCACGGCTCAAGGCCCTCTTCTTTGACCATGCCTACTACACTCATCCTCCTACCCCTACCTTCACTGACCTCCACCCCTCGGATCCTAAGCCCCAGCTCGGGTCCAAATCCCTGACTGTCCAACGCCTTGGGACATCCTCCCGCCGTGAAAGGCGCTGTACACATGCAATTTGTTGTTGTTACATCAATGACACCATCAACAAATGTGTTAATAAACATGTATTTAGTATAGAATGTGTCATGTCGGCACCTCCTTTGAGTCTGTGAGACAATGTGTCAGATCCTGTTATTTGCTCAATGTTCCAGGTGTGGCAAGGACTGAATGTTGTTAAGACGGCCCGGAATATGCTGGGAGAGACCGACCCTGCCCACTCCGCTCCAGGCACCATCCGAGGGGATTTCTGTATTGAAGTCAGCAGGTAGATGGGGCTCATACAGCCAGTGCCTGGGATCCACTGTGATTGGCTTTGCATAGAGGCAAACAGCTGCTGCTCAAGCTCCCCACCCCCCCACACCCAATGCTCAAAGGAAAAGGACGAGTGTCCGAGCTGTGGGCAGGAAGATGGTGGCAATGCTCTCACACATTTCATGCTGAGCTGTGCTGTTCAGCATGAAACTCACAGTGAGTTCCTGGTGCCTAGTGAGGGCTCAAACCCGCGCTTGTCGAAACCAAACAGTGACTGTCCAAACGGTGACTGCCCTTCTGGGGGTGGATTCGTGGGGTCTCCTCGGAGCTGAACTGGCTCCAAGATGTTTGGCAATGGAATTTCGGATTGAGTCAACTCTCTGTGACTGTCTCTGGTCTTGTTCCTGAGCCAGGCGTTCTGCAGTCTTCCCGAGTCCTGCTGATGACAGCACTGGCAACCTAGCTTGTTGGCAGGTCTTGGAAGAGCAGACCAGTCAATGGAGGCAGAGAGTCATTACAGTTGGCTGCTGTTAACCCTAACGGGCAGTGTGCTCGCTGCTGGACAAGCAGCGAGATGCTTGCCCTTGTGGTTTTAGCTGGTTAAGCTCCAGCAGTACTTCAGTGCACACTCCCGGAGTCTCTCACCAACCGGCACCTAATACTCTGAGGAATTAGGTGAGAAGGGTTCCTCCCTCCAGGGAAAGTGCGCATTCCACTCTGACACGGGCAAAGTTCCATGTATAGGTGGCATACATATGAGGAACTCTGTCTGGTTTCCATATGTGTCAAACACCCGACTCACCAAAAAAAAACTAGATTTAAAACCCATTCTCATTCTCATGGGTCAATCTTGTAGCTGACCTCAATTAGCCTTCGGTTGACATGTTAAACTGAGGTCACGTCTGCCTGTTCAGGTGTTCAAGATCCCGTGGCACTGCTCGAAAAGAGAAGGGAGTTCCTCCTGATCTCCTGGCTAACAAACCCTCAAAATACAAAAGAATTAGTCACTTATTCCATGGCTGTTTGTGGGACATTGCTGTGCAAATTGGCTGCCATGTTTTGTCCACAAAATACACCACCTCACCACTTCTCCACCTCACCGTCTCTCCACCTCACTGAGCGAGTACAGAAACCTGGTTTCTCGTTTGCCCCGCAACTGTGCCATAATTTGTTCTGCCTTCCCCCAGCTCTGCGACGTTGCTCGCCTCCGCCCCCAGCTCTCCCCTCAGGCTGGACTCCCGAGACCCTCGTCCGATGCTTTGTTTACACCAGGTTTGACCACTCTAATTCCCTGCTTGCGGCCTTCCCAATTCTTCCCTCCACAAGCTGTAAATTGTTCAATACTCGTGTCCTCTCCTGCACCGGGCACGGGCCCGGTCTCACAGTCGATGGCTAAGTGGAATTTGGGGCTTGTGCTGTGTGGTTTGTCTGTGTCCCTCCCTGTGCAGTGGCTGAGATGAGTTGATTCATTGCAGAGATTGTGACCTTCTGACTGCTGCTCATCCAGTGGCAGCCACGGGTGACTGCAGGAGGGTTTGCAGTGACAATGGATGGTGTAGCATCGTGCTTCCCGCTGAGCACACAGCACATATTGTGGCCTGAATCTGATACTGGGCGTGTTTAACCCTCGCTCGTCTCTGTGCTGTTACAGGAATGTAATCCATGGCAGTGATTCCGTGGAGAGCGCTATCCGTGAGGTCTCGCTGTGGTTCCATTCGGATGAGCTGGTCTGCTGGGACGACTGCGCTGAAACCTGGCTATATGAGTGAAGGGAACCCACTCATCATCACTGAAGTGCTGTCCAGCCCCATACTGTAGGGGCAGCGGGGGAGGGGTGGTGGGAGGGTGGGTTTGCAGGTGAAACAATAACGTCAGCTATGGTGAGCTCAGGAATCTGTTTTATCTGCTTTAAACCTTGAAAAGGTGTAACATTGATACGTAGAGACGCTCAGGTTGTTATATGAGCACAACATAATCATTTCAGGTTAACTGAGCATTTCACACATTGTGTCTGTGTCACTGTCAGAAAAGAAACATTTCCTAACCTCAGTTAAGCTTGAGGTTCTGCGTATAGAATGTAATGCCAAAACTTCCTGTTGCTCCTTTGAGTTAGCATTGTATAGCTTGCAAGATGCATGGGTAGGAATTTTATATACGGTACTTATCACTGACTTAACTACTACATAAACTGAAGCTAACATTTTGTAATAGGTAAATTTACTTGGATTCCTTTCATTACCATCATGTTAATGCAGTTAACATACAATCTGTACTTTATTTCTGCTACCTTTGTATTTGTTGTGATCTTACTATCATTGTGACTGACAGAACAGGGACAATTCACAGCAAACCGGGGAAATGTGGGGAGCAATAAACATGAGTCTGTATAAGACAGGTCAGTACTTGAATTAAAATGTTTATGAATAGCACTGAAGACATTCCAGTTTACATTAATGCTTTGGTTCCTACTGATTGCTGAATATAATAATCCTTGCATTTGATATAGCGCTTTTAACGTCTTCAAGGCGTCTCAAAGCGCTTCACAGAATATAAAGTGAATTGACTGTATATTTATGGGTGAAACGCGGCAGCCAATTGTGCACAGCAGCGTCCCACAAACAGTCGTGGATTGAAGTGACCAATTTATTATTTTTTTTCTTGAGGGATTATTAGGCGTGTGGAGTAAGGAAACTTGCCCAAGGTTTCGCCCTACCGGGAATCAAACCCAGGTCTCTCGCTTGCCCACTGAGCTACAGGACTCCTACGTGTGTTGAATACTGCACAGATGTGATGTTGATGCAGGTAGAGATAAGGACTTTGAGAGAGAAATTCCTGTACCTTGAAACACCAGACCTGGGAATTCCTAAACCAGAAAATTATGGATTAATATCCTATCTTTGACATTCAAAAGACATATTCAGCTCCAGTTGCTATTGCGAATCAAGTTTCTTCTTGGAACTAAAATTCAGGATGTGACTAAAACCGGCTACTCATCCATGTGAGGGATTCATTCCATTGCAGTGTTGCCTCGAGTGGTCATATGTGTGTTGAACATTTGGCTAATGATGTTGCAGTTGTAAAATCAAACAGCTTCACAAGGATAGGAAGAGCCAGTTATCCCCATGGTAATTTTTCTGACACATGCTTAAACACCCCTTCCCCCCAAAAAGTCAGAACAAGTACTATATAGTGTCGTAATGAGCAACAACCTGCATTTATTTTTATACAGAATGCTTCACACTGGGTTGCGTCTAAATGGGGCCGAGGGTAGAGCCTTGGGGTACACCGCAGGTGACCCTGTGGGAGCGGGAGGAATACATGGGCTCACTCCTCACAAAACTGTGTACTTGCCTCCAATCATAATCTTCTACCAGTTCCTCATCTCTTCTGGGGTAATCCTAGTCCAATATAACTCATGAATATAACAATAGACTAAGGAACAGGAGTAGGCCATTCAGCCCCTCGAGCCTGTTCAATCAGAATAGGGGTCACGGTGCAGGGAAATCTCAAATACCGCAATTGCTTAATAAACAACAACGATTGATTTCATGATGTGAATATGTTTATTACATATGGAACAATTATATGTTAATTTTAAGTTAATTACATTGCACAGGGAAAATAGCTCAGAAGATATCCTTCCACCAGCCAGCCCTCTCTGTACACCAACCTTCTCATTAGCCACCAAGCAGCTCTCTGGACAGGCCTTCGACGTGATGCTGTGGAGTCTCGCAAACCTGTGACAAGAAATGAAAAGAACCTCACATTGGACCTGGCAGGAAGTGTGGTTGGAGAGGCCTGAGGAAACTGATTCTGCCTGTAACCTACGATGTGATGGCTTCAAAAGGACATTTAACCTGACCATTTACCCAGACGTCTGGTCACTCAATCCCATTCTTCCCTGAACCTTCAAACTGTGGAGAATTTGGCAGACGCACATTTTCCATTAGCTGTTGACGACTCCCCTCCCCACACGTTAATGCCAGCTCCTGTCAAGGTTCACTCATTCTGACTTTACACCACTTCCAGAGCAACAAATCCCTCCTGTCCTTGTTGCTGATCACAACGGCCATGTTATCACTGGCATTACGAGCGAAAAAGCTGAATGTGGAGTACTCTTGAGTATCACATGGATGTACAGTTACTGGAGAAGTACAGAGTGTGAGGTTTTCACTAACAACATTTATAACATGTACCCAGCAAATGCACACACTTAAATTAAAAGAGGATCATAATTCCACTCAAAACGTTTGCTTATTAACCCGCAGCTCAGCTGCCTCAGACACACGCCCTGGAGAAGTAAAGGCTGCAGAGGTCTCTTGGCTCTTTGTAGCAAAATAAATAATCCGTCCTCACAATGTGAAAGACTGAGAGGAACAGTCACTTTTACAGGTGACTGTGGTCAATCAGTTTCCCTTTTGTTGATTTCACTTAGATTTTTCTCTCTCTCTCTCTCTGATTTTTTAACCTAAAAAAAGAAATGTTCGACCTTGAATATGAATTAATTTTTCTTCTTTTGTTTTCAAACAAATCCTCCAGCTGTGTATGGTACGGCTGTGCTGCCCTCTCATTAGGAAACGTTTGAAAAGTCGCCTGTGCAAAGCCGGGAATCGGTTTGCATTTTCAGTGGAATGTTGCAACACAAAATCCTACCCCATTATCTGGGACATTATCGATCTCTCTCATCTCAGATGTTCACTGAACATCTGTCCAGCCAAAGAAATCATAATTCCTCTCAAACGTTTGCTAATTAACCTGCAGCACAGCTGCCTCAGACACACGTCCTGGAGAAGCTCTGGTAGCAAAAGCCTCATAAATAATCCGTCCTCACATGATGGGAGACACACATCGTCCCTTTTACAGGTGACTGAGGACAATTGGTTTTCACATGGAACCTCTACCTCCCCCCCCTTCTCTGTGTCACCAGTTACCATCAGAGATACGGGGAACCCCAGCCCCCACTCCCCCCGGCACTGTGGCAGCCAACATGTGAGAAAGGTCTCCCTGGTAAGCCATTAGTAGCCACAAACGCCTGTGTTGTTGGAAGCTGTTGGTGTAAGACTTGATTTCTGAAAGGAGGGAAACGGAGCAGATCAGGTTTTTAAACATATCAATTTCAACGTATCGACCAACATGTCTTTGTGACATTACTGCCTCCTAACAACTCAGCAGTGACCGGACAGTCAGCTCAGAGGGTGGGGGGGAATGGGGGTGGGGGCTGTGTGAATAGTCAACTCCAGGCGGGGGGGGAGGGGGGGGATTCCTTTGGCCACCTGCGCAGCATCTCTGGTGATGGGAAAGCCCACAGCGTCACTCGGTGGCCACAGGAATTTTCCCTGTTGTGCTTCGACATCAAGACAATTACACGGCCAAACACTTGTATCTGCAAACGACTTTGTCAAAAATTAAATAAAGAGTCGGTCTCCAATCAGGCCTGTTGTGTTAACTGTTCGGAAACAATTTCCAGATTTCCTTTTCTTTTCAAACTGAGTTCAGAACCTGTGCACTGGAAACTATAAATGTGGTCAATTCCAAAGAGGAGGCTGGGAAATGCAGGATCAGGAATGCTGCCGTATGCCTGGGGTTTACTCGGGGACAATGCAGGGTTTGTACATACAGGCCGGGCGATGTGCAGGAGCTCAGACAATGAGTATAATGAAGAGTGGCATCTCATTCAGGCACATATGCCACCTGCCAGACAATGATGTGGCTTTGTTCTGCTTTGGACAAGGATGGTCTGATTTCAGTGGGCAAGCTTTCATCCGTTTCATCATCCTCGCCGTCACCTGCACAGAGAGAAGTTACAGAATCAAGATGGAGACAAGCCAAGCGAGACAGCAAGAAGAGATCGGTTTGACGTCAGACACACAGAAGGCACCAGAAGGCAGATCGCCTTTAAGCGACCTGTACAGGTTGATTGATGAGCTTGTAGGAGTCTATGGTAATGCAAACGCTTGACGTCTCTTTGCCGGTCAACATTGTTCAGCCTGACAGGAAGCTGCTCTCAGGCTGCGGAGACGTTTGGAATGCAAAGCATCATGTATGCCGGGATTATTATTATTATTATTATGGAGTCCTGTAGCTCAGTGGTGAGAGCACTCGCCTCACAAGCAAGAGACCTGGGTTTGATTCCCGGGCAGGGTGAAATGTTGGGCAAGTTTCCTTACTCCACACTCCTCCATTTACCCAGCAGGAAGTAGGAACCTGGATGTTAGTCAATTGATAGATTGCTTTTCCGGGGGTAATAATTTCTTCAAAAAAATAGTAATAATGAATTGGTCACTTCAATCCACGACTGTTTGTGGGACGCTGCTGTGCACAATTGGTTGCCAAGATTCGCCCACAAATGTACAGTCAATTCACGTTACAGTATATCATATGAAGCGCTTTGAGAAGTCTCGCAGACGTGATGAAGCGCTATATCAAATGCAAGGATTATTATTATTATCACCAATAAATCCCTCAATTATAAACCAGATCACAGACTATACAATAAATTGCATTTATATGCAACTTAAGGGTCGGAAGGATGCAACGAAGGGGGTGAGGCAGAGGGGCTCCGGGATGGAGTTCCAGAGGGTGGGGGCAGAAAGGCTGAAGGCCCGACTTACGATGGTGGGGCGGGGGGTGAAATAGGCCAGTGCCCATCGAGTGGAGGGAGCGGACAGGTTGGTAGGGTTTTAGAAGATCATGGGAGTGGGGAGGGCTGCCAATGGAGTTGAGCGAGGATTGAGCCGACAGGCTTGTGGAGTCTGGTGCAGGAGAGGACATGAGCTGCAGGGTTCTGGATGGTCTGCAGTTTGTGGAGGGAAGCGTTGCGAAATCCAGTGAGCAGAGAATTGGTGTAGTGTAACCTGTATGTGATAAAAGTATGAATTAGGGTCTCAGTGGCCTCAGGAGAGAGGTAGTGACGAAGCCGGGCAACGTTACAGAGGTGAGGTACAAAGGTGAGCTGGTCGTGTGGGTGAGCTTCAGGTTGGGTGAGGAGTTGGCTTACCGATCCGAAAGTCAATGTAGCCCTCGCCACCACTCAGCACCAGCACAGGCTGCAGCCTCTGCTCCTGCTCAGTCCCCGTGGGGCCAGGATTCTCCGTGGGGCTGTCCAGCACACTCCCGCTCAGCGTTTCCAGAACATTCCCTACAGAAACACGTCACAAACAGGACTCAGTAACTAACCAACCCTCCCTCTGATCTCTATATAGTCGTGTGGATATCTTGCAGACAGCCCATAATATTAGACTTACTCCAAGAAACATGATAGCTCGACTATGTCAGATGTTACGATCAACTTTTAGGTGTCAGCCCGGCTCAGTGCGTGTGTGTCAGCCCGGCTCAGCGTGTGTGTGTCAGCCCGGCTCAGTGCGTGTGTGTGTCAGCCCGGCTCAGCGTTCAGTTGGAAGCACTTTCACCTCGGAGTCAGAAGATAGTGGGGTCAAACCCTCTATTGGGACTTTGAGCTCAGAGTCCATGCTGATGCTGTCCTTTAGATGAGATGTTAAACCGAGGTCCAATTCAGGTGGACATTAAAAAATCTCAGCACTATTGGAAAAGAGAAGAGTTTCTCCTGGTGTCCTGGCCCACAAAAAAACTCATTCTGTTTGTGGAACATTGCTGTGTTCACCTACAGAGACACAGTTACTTCGCTACAGAAAGCCCTGTGAAGCACTTTGAGACATTTCTACCTAGCATCAAATGTAAGACTATGAATTGGTTAACATTATAATTATGATTAATTTACATTCCTCTAAAGTTAATTTGTTGAAGTGAGGGAATGGCCTCAGTTAACTCGGAGAGTGTTGTCGTTCTCTTACTTTACATCACCCTGAATGACCTCCTGATGTCACGTGATCTTGTCCTGTACTGTGCGGTCAATTCCTGTGGTCTGGACTGTCCCAGCGCTCTGGAATGCATGAGGGGCGCTAAATGCTAGTTGTTGCTGTTGTCCTGCACTGATCCGCTCAGTGTAAACTTACCGAGTACAGACACGAAGAATTTGACAGCATCCCTGTGTCCATGGAAACAGAGCTGTGCTTGTGCCATGGAGCAGTAAGGGATGAAGCTACCCACTGAGGCCTTGTCACTGCTTTCATCAGCGTAGACGCGAATCACTCCGCCAGCCCGGCTCCCTTCACTGTTGGTCGGGGAAGTCTTATTGGCTATGAGAAACCGCAGGATTTCATGTTAGAATTAGACGCTGAACGTTTAACAAGGTTTCAAGCAGAGTCTCACAGTGCACTGAAAGCCACTCCCCGTCTCCCCCAGCTGCTCCCCCCACCCCCCGAGGCTGCCCCGTTCCCTGAAGCCGACAACGTAGAGAGTGCAGGCAGCTCTCTCTCTCGGGGCCAGACCCCACCCCAGCACTCTAGAGCTCTTTAACATTGCCATGACTTTCATCTGTACCTGTTTAATTATAAACTGCTTTGTGTTTATGAAATATTCCAGTTATGACCCACTACGCTGCATCACGTGGGTAAAATTGTCAGTTGATATCCGTGCTACAGGCTGGCCACGTCATCTGCTGGCAGTGACCCTGGGAGCTGTGTCTGAGTGGATCTGGGCAACACGATGGTATCACTGTACTGTGAGAGACTCCGAATGGCTACCCTGATGTGAAACACAGCTCACACCAACATGCAACATGCAGACAGATACCACAGCCCCTAGGATCACCCTCGTTACAGCCTGCACACACACACGCTAAGGGAGACACCTGAACCTTCACCCTAACACTCACACTTTACATTCACTTTTAGGATTCGAGCCAAACAGAATCACTAAAAATAGCTGTGAAATATTGTTGCTTTTGATAATATCTTAGGCATCTTTCTTGTTTAATTAAAACAATTAAATATTATTGTCTAATTTGGAATGCTGGTTAGGTTGGAGATTCATAAGCATGGTGATGGGTTTCCGTGTGTGTCAACACACCCGGCCGATCACGGTGATGGGTTTCTGTGTGTGTCAACACACCCGGCCGATCACGGTGATGGGTTTCCGTGTGTGTCAACACACCCGGCCGATCACGGTGATGGGTTTCCGTGTGTGTCAACACACCCGGCCGATCACGGTGATGGGTTTCCGTGTGTGTCAACACACCCGGCCGATCACGGTGATGGGTTTCTGTGTGTGTCAACACACCCGGCCGATCACGGTGATGGGTTTCCGTGTGTCAAGACACCCGGTCGATCACGGTGATGGGTTTCCGTGTGTGTCAAGACACCCGGTCGATCACGGTGATGGGTTTCCGTGTGTGTCAAGACACCCGGTCGATCACGGTGATGGGTTTCCGTGTGTGTCAAGACACTCGGCCGATCACGGTGATGGGTTTCCGTGTGTGTCAAGACACCTGGCTGATCATGTTGTTGGGGGTCTGTGTGTGTCAGACACTCAGTTACCCCCAAAAAACAAATAAAATAGAGAACATTACATTTTACCCGTGGGATGTAGGCAGGAATGTTTCCTTCAAAAGAATTGTGTGGTGAGGTCTAAAGACCAAACCCTCCTCTGCACCAGCAACAACAATATAACTGAATGAAATTGTCAGCAAGATAATGGCGAGCCAACCTAAAGGCTGCGGTCCTTCAACAGGAATTAAACTTAAATTCTATTCGGTTACACTGTTGATTCCTCATCCGCCAGTATGCGTGTCTGAGGCCGGAGCATCCAACCTGCAGCAAACCTGCCTGTTCAGGAAAGTATCTGAAACCAGGAGATACTCTCTCACACATCATCAGCAACTCAATGGCCAGAGCTCCTGTCCCTTCCCTTAGACATTCCTCAAATGTCATTAAAGCAGAAAAAATACTGCAATGTGGGGGGGGGTGTGGGGATGCATTTGAAACAAATGTAATTTCCCCGAGGCCAGGAAGCAGTTCCGGGAAGTCCCAGGGATTGGTGTCTGTGTCTGGTTAGATTCCACTCTGGAAAAGGTCAGGAGGAGCTGAGAAAGTGATCATATGAAAACCAGCATGGGCTACCCTGGCCCCTAGCGACTGTGCAGCTATTGTACACTGTACGGGAACAAACCAAGCTGTGTTTAATGGTAGCGCCGTGCGTCACTGTGAGGATCACATCAATGTGTCTCCCTCAGCAGGCGTTTCCAGTATTCTGTCTAGTGTGAACGTTAGCAGCAGTGCTGTTAGTGGCAGAGACAGAGATGTATCAGCTGGAAGCCCACAATGAGAAGCGTGGCACAGCTGCTTTCAATGACATGATGACGGCTTGACAGACTCATTACGTGAATAACAATCAGCAGGTTCCACATGACATTTCTGCTTCAATCATCACAAACACTCAAAAGAGATATTTTTTCCATCATCAGGTCTCCCTCACTGCCCTTCACACAGGATCCATCCTAAACCAATAAAGTGTGAATGGGCAATCAGGAGTGACCTCTGCTGGTTAGTGAAGCCTCTGTTGGTAGGTAATGGAGCTGGCCTCAGGAGGCTCACTGTGGAGACTGGGGCCTGAGACGGTGCCTTGCTTCAGAGCACTGCACACGACAACCACTAAATGCACCATTGGGCTGCTCTATAGGTTGTCCTGTCACAGTCTATCTCCAGCGTGGAGATTATCTTACCTCGGAGAAACTATGGAATACTCCACTCGATGACAAGAGACAGTCCCTGTCTTCAACCAGGAAACACATTATCTGATTGTTTATGGCTCCAGCCAGCCAGAAGGTGAAGGTTATGAGATACAGGACTCCAATTAGTCAGGTCAAAACAATGTGAACCATCATTAGTTTCAATTGGGACAAGTGAAAGGGCGATGGCACCATTTACTCCCATCCTCACCCGACTCCACTGGCTCCCCATCTCCCAGAGGATTGAGTTCAAGATCCTCGTCCTCACCTTTCATGGCCTTGCCCCTCCCACACTCTGGAACTCCATTCCACGGTCCCTTCGCCTCGCTTCCTCCCTTGCCTCCTTCAAGGCCGGTCTCAAGACCCTTCTCTTCGACCGTGCCTTTGGTCTCCCTCCCACCTCTCTGCCTTCCCTCACCACCCCTCCCCCATGCCCGGGCCCCGACATCTGACTGTTCAGTGCTTTGGGACGCCTTCCAGATGTGAAAGGCGCTCTATAAATATCATTTTGTTGTTGTTGTCAAGCGGTCTGGACTATGCACTGTTTTATTATTAGCTGCTCATGGCCAGTGGATTGGTTCAGAAACCAAAGGCAGTTGTGATTGGGTGGTTATCAGACGGCAGAAAGCATCACCTGATGAGACAAGCTCTTAATTCACCTGAACCCTGGGTCCATTGGATATTTATTTTGTATTCTCTGTTCCTGGCTTTAAACAATGTCCCTTGGACAGAAATGGAGCCTCTAGGTCTATCCTGCCCCATCTCTACCTTATAATCAATCACACTGGACCAACATGGCTCACGGGGAAAAAGTATCCTAGAAAAAGGCTGAGTCAGGCCTTCGTCTGACCGAATGATCCCATGATCCCAATGTATCTAATTACCAATGCCAATTCTGAATATATTGCAGTACAGCTACATACACACAGAACCAAGAGCGGTCTCCTAAGCCATCGTCTAAATATGGCCTTTGTAAATCAAGTCCCAAAGGTTTAAGGCCATGTTCTTTCTGTCAGTAAAGAGAAAGGTCGATTGGCTTTAAGACGAGTTGAGAGGAATCTTCACATTAAATCAGATTTGTACAGAATTGCAGAAATGTTACTGTGGTTTTCAACATGTGAAAAAAAAAGAAAAGAATGAGAAAGAAAAGGTGAAAAGAGTACAATTCACAACCTGGTGTATTATGCCGACACTGAGGAGCGCCGGTCACACAATGACAGGCAAGGAGCAGGCAGGAGGATGGGAGGTTATTTAACAATGATATCAGCCAACACCACACCACCACTCTCACTTACCCCGGAACCCCAGCAGCTGGCCACGGTGCAAAACCACAGCTAGAGGAGAGGGGAGGAATCAGAGGAGGGCAGGCGTCGGGAGAGCGGAGGCGTTGGGAGAGGGGAGGCGTTGGGAGAGGGGAGGCGTTGGGAGAGGGGAGAAGTCAGGCAGGGGGAAGAGTCAGGCGAGGGAGGAGAGAGAAGGAACAGCAGAAAGAGAGGCTCATTAGTGGGAGCTCGCGGGGGAGGAGTGAACGCTGAAACAGACCGATTACAAACTGCTCAGCAATACACTGTGGGAGGAAGAGACATTTACACAACAGCTTGTCACGTGGACACATTTGTGGTCAGTTATCTGATTAGAAACATTCAAAAAAAATCATTGAATTTTGTTCAGGAACCAAAACACAATCGGATCAGAATGTCGGACACCCGCACAACACATTGCCCCACGCCGCTCTCTGGCCCACCCTCTGCCCTGCGTGCTGCCCCTGCCTCTACTGACTGCCCCGTCCCCAAATAGCTCACACATGCCCCCAGCAACAAGGAAACCCAGTTTTGTTCTGTGGCCCCCCCCTCAGCCCCCTGTGAGATGCGCTGTTGCCTGGGTGGAAGCGCTGCACAGTATAAAACTGTGTCACGCACGACAACAGATGTGTTGGTGTCCGTTTCACCGGCAGTGAAGGTGGTGAGGCACTGAGCCCTTATCCAGGCTGCTCTATTTTTCGCTTATGTTATTTTCCGAAGGCCTGTGCCTCGCTCTGTGTCTGACTGAACATCACTGATTTATACTCTGTAACATATGAGAGATCCAATGTATACTGAGCTGCTCACGGCTTCAAACAAATGATCCGGTGTAGACTTCTCAGGCGGTAACCTCTCAGCCCACCCACCCCCCCACTCCCCCCCACTGGGTTCTGTCCTCGCGTCGGTAACTTACTCTCAGTCAGAGGGATGGAGATCACCACACCGTTTCCAGTGCCCACCCACAGCCGGTTTCCACCGATGAGCAAAGCTGTGATCCGCACAAAAGAGAATCCTAACTTGCCAGTTCCTGTCAATCAAAGGGAAGAAATGCAGAATGAGGAGATCAGAGTCAGGGACTCTCCCCCCACACCCACAGGCACCAAAGTAACATCACACGCACACACACACACATTGGCTTTGCATTCAACTCCATTCACAAGGCTGTGCAGCTGGGAGCCCCATTACACATTACACAGACTGGGCAGCACAGATGGAGGGACAGGGGTGTGGGCACCCACTCCACGTCAGCTGGTCAAACAGGAGGGGAGGAGGGAGGGGGTCAGGGAGAGGGTGGGGGGGGGTGGAGTTTGGGGGCTGCAGGGGAGGGTTGGGGCGTCAGGGACAGGGGCAGGGTTGAGGCTGAGGATTTGAGTACAGAACCTTACCCAACATCTTACTGACGTAAGGCTCAATGTCCACGTCCTGTAGGTGCTGGTGTGTGTGCGCATGGTAAAGGCGCAGTGTGGAGTCCAGCCGGATCGATACCCAAACCCCATCCCCAATCCAGGCCAGCTGCCGCACCTGGCTCTCCCTGCGCGGGTGAGCGTCAAACGATTTCTGATTTGTAAATAATAGACAGAAAGTAATTTCAAAGGAAAATCACAAATAGAATCCACATACAACCCCCCCCCCACCACCCCGCCCGAGTATGCTGGTCACATCCAGTAATGGGATATCGCAGTAAATCCCGTACTCTCTCTCTCTCTCATCTGATGCAAATAATATTCATTTAACAGAAACAAAATGATTAAAGCAGTAAGTACTGTGAGCAGCACCACAGGTGTGTGTGTGTGTGTGTGTGTGTGTGTGTGTGTGAATACAGCGCTATACATAGGCTGACACTAGGGCCTCTGGCACAGCTCTTACTGCACAGTCTGCAAACAACACTCAGTCACTACACTTTATAGCAAATCCTGTGAGGTGCTTTGAGATGTCCTGAGGATGATATAAGGGTTGTATCAAATGTAAAGTTTGTAATAATATAATAATTACATTTGATACAGCGCTGATCACGTCTTCGAGACATCTCAAAATGCTTCTACACGGGATATACTGTAACGTGGATTGACTGTATATTTTGTGGGTGAAGAGCGGCAGCCAATTGCGCACAGCAGTGTCCCACAAACGGTCGTGGATTGAGCAACCAAATTTATTTCTATTTACAAATTACTTTTATTTGTATATACAAGACGCTCACACGTACCTCGATCTGCATGGTTTTAGGCTGAATGACATGGATTTTGTTCTTGTAACCACACCACACCTTGTCGTGCACCACGGCCATGCAGCGGATGGAGTGGTTCGGCCGCCGCAGGTCCATCAGGTGGTAATTACTCAGGTCCCACTGACCGTCTGTGCGGAGAACATCAGAGCTTTAACAGGGCCCAGAGGAGCCCGGCTGCCAGGCACAAGCCAAGCACACTGATTACAATTTAAATTACAAAATGATTCCAGGGCTGACTTGATTGATGTGTGTATGTATGGGGAAAGGGTGTGCGAGTGGGGTGGGTGGGGGTATGGTGTGGGAGGGTGGGTATTTGTGTGGGGAGGGGGGGAGGTAGAGTTTAACTAGAGTTTGGCACAAAACTGAATAATACATCGCAGATCTGTTCTTAATTCATTGCATCCACACCACTGACTGACGCTCTCAGCATTGTAGCTGACACACAGACCCTGTGTGATATCACTGACTATCAGGGGAGCGACACTAACCCAGGCTGCTCACTGCACACAACTGAACCCCAAGCTCATCCACCTCCGCACAACTGCACTGGATTCAGTAATCATTCAGACTGCGCCGCACGGATGGGTCAGTCTATCGGTCGGTCATTCAGTCCGAGTGTGAGCAAGTGGATATTGAGCGTGTCAGTCAGTCAGTGTGAGGCTGTGGGTAGTGGGTGTGTAAAGCTGTGTTTGCTGGGATCTACCTTCAGCTCGGTGGAATATGGCCAGTGTTCCATTATTGAGTGCCACCAAAACACGACCCTTCACGTGTCTGAAACAGGGAGAGTAAGGTTACAGTGACACAGACCAGAGGGCGGCTGGTAACAGGCTACAGGGAAATTTACACTCACCACAAGTAACACAGGACAAGTAAATAGCAACTTACAGTTAACCAGCACCCTCACATGGCATAGCGGCCCTCAGCGCTGACATTGGTGCCTGGGGGAAGGGTCAGTGCCCAGGGGGAAGGGTCAGTGCCCTTGAGGAGGGGGCGGTGCCCGGGCGAGGGACCAAGGGGAGAGGCAGTCACAGGGGGAGGGGTGGTACCTGGGGAGAGGGTGGGGCTCAGGGAAGGGGATGGTGCCCAGGGGAAGGGGTGGTACTCAGGGGGTGGTGCTCAGGGGGAAGGGGACAGTGCCAGGAGGAAGGGGCAGTGCTCAGGGGGTAAAATGAAGCAATCCAAGCCTGACATTGTTGACAACTGGTTCAGGTTCAGAGTAAGAACTTACACAATGCTGAGGACGGCATCCTTCAGTTTAATGGTGTGCAGGCACTTCTTCCAATTGGAAACAGCAGAGTGCACGTACAGGCTGGCGGCAAAACACACAGTCACACACCCACAATTTACTGTATAGCAAATCACCGCAACCACAAGACAGGAATAGAGTCAATGATCAAACAATAGCGGCTGATGGAGCAGTCATTTGGGAGCATTTAAAGAGAATTGACAAACTCACACAGAATAATAATAATTCTTGCATTTGATATAGCGCTTTTCACGTCTTCTTGACATCTCAAAGCGCTTCAAAGAATAGACAGTAAAGTGAATTGACTGTATATTTGTGGGCGGGGAAGGGGTGTGAGCTGGGCTGGGGTTTCAGACCTACCAGCCATTCTGTGCTCCCAGCCACATGCTCGGGGCAGCACTTGTAGTCGATGGGCTGGAGTAAGAGTTTGATTCTTGTTCTGATTGTTCTGTCTTCTGTTCCTCTTTACATTGGCCGTTCTCCCTGCAGAGAAAAGATAGCGTTTCTCACCGACATTTACTGAGATAAAGGCTGTGTTTACAGGGCGGCCGGAGCCCGAGGCCTCAATCCAAGCACTCAGATTCGAGTGACTCGAGCCACCGGCCACATCCCATCAAGAAAGTGAGGCCAGGATCCAGCACGTGTGTATACTGTACACATCTACATTTGTACAGCGCCTTCATGTCAGGAGGACGTTCCCCAGATACTGAACAGTCCTAGTTTTGCCCCTGTGCTGGGAGTGGGGCTGAGGTGGTCCAGGGTGGGGATGGAAGGATGACCAAAGGCATGGTCAAAGAGGAAGGTCTTGAGGAGGCAAGGGAGGTGGTGAGTTGGAGGGCCTCTGTGATGGAGTTCCAGAGGGCAGGGGCAGAAAGGCTGAAGGCCCGAACGCTGATGGCGGAGATAAAGGCTCAGTGTCCGCCGAGCGAAGTCAGTAGGGTTTGCAGAGGAAGGTTGGGACAAGATCATGGTGGGATTTAAAAGTGAGGATAAGGATCCTGAACTCTATCCTTTGGGGGATGGGAAGCCAGTGGAGCCGGACGAAGACAGGAGTGATCAGCTCACAGAGCTTGGTGCGGGAGAGGACACCAGGACTGGCCAGTATCTGGCACATGTGCACAGAGCAGCCAGGACTCCTCTGGGGAAAGGGTGGAGAACACAAACACTGGCGAGTGGTCACGGCTGACCAGTGGCTCCACACACACACTCAGCACGTCCATAGCTCTCTCACGTTAGCAGCAAACACCTTCTCACAAACAGTAACAGACTCACCCTGTATAACGCGTTACACCCTTTATACACCCCCACATACACCCCACCTCCACACACACATTTACCTGAGCTGAGCTTTGTGGGACTCAGGCTGAGCTGGCTCAGTGAAGATGTGCTCAGTGTAAGCACCAGGCCGTGCTGACCCCGGCTCCCAATCACCGACACCGTTCTCCGTCGCCTCGGTTGCTTCAGTTGCCTCCTCCGCTGACTGTGGTTGGTTGACTTTCCCACCATTGACAGTCGCCACATCAGCTACATGGGCGCAAAGATCACCAATGTGAGGAACGATCGAATGAGCTTCCACCCCTTCCTGCACAGTGAGAATCACAGCCCCCCCCGCCCTCCACACACGCACACAACACACGCGCACACATTCCCCACATGGCGTATGCTAAACCTTAGCCACTGGTCAATTGTCCAGATTTCATTTAAGATTCCAAAATCTTCTCGATCAGTTATTCAACAATGTTACTTTCACCCTTCACATTCATACTGAAACTAGGATTAAAAGCATTCACTCCCTGCCTTGCTCACTCGCTCTCCACCAACAACTCAGTCATGGCAGTACATCACACTCGCAGTGATGCCCGGCTTCTCTGATCAGCTCCATAAACCGCATTACAGTCTAGAGCCTTCAAGCTCTTTACATTTCTAAACCAAAGCAAAGGGAATAGAGGCTGGAAGGCATGGGAGCAGCCAATGTTGCCTGAGCCTGATATGTGCACCGTTACAGATACTGGTGAATCATCTTAAAGATTGTTGGGGAATGAAAATGAATGTCCACCACACCTCAGCCTTGCTTAACCAGAGTCCTGTCCTGCTGCAGGGATTTTCATTTATTTCCTCAGAATCTTTCCTTGTGCAGGAGAGAATCCTCACCTGCTTTGCTCCTGTACTCAAAGTGTTGTACGTATGTTCAATGTGTGAGCTCCTCACACTTGTGTGTGTATGTGTATGCGTGTGTGGTGTGTGTGAGCATGTGTGCAAGTGGAATGTGTGAGCTCTTCGCACAGCTAGTGAAAGTTTGTGTTGAGCCTCTTGATTCTCTTACTAGACTGCCCAGCACACTTTGCGCTGAAGTCTTATACTGAAACTCAACACAGTAACGAGTGACATGAGTTATCAGTGCAGCAAGTATATAATAATACAATATATTAATAACATAAATAATAATATAAAAACAATCCTTGCATTTGATATGGCGCCTTTCAGGTCGGGAGGACGTCCTAAAGCACTGCACAGGAATTACTGTAAAATGAAGTGACTGTGCTTTGTCGGTGAATGGGGCAGCCAGATTATGCCCAACGACATCCCACAAACAGCCATGAAGTGATTGAGGGATTTTAGTGGGATTTAGGGGACTTCTCTTGTGGAGCAACTCAATGGGAGAAAATAACTGAAACAAGAATTTGAAAATACTGTAATAGCAAACCGAACTTGGAGGTGTTACCCACTCTGTGCTTTGTCTGATGTCGGGGTGTCGCTCCGAGATGTGCTGCTGCTCCGAGGGACATTGCACCGTGTCGCACACCCCACCAGTGTGATTCCTGCCAGCACCCCTTCTGTTCCGTTGGATTCATCTGGATTTAAATCTCCCTCTAAATAGATCTCTCCGGCCGGATAGTCACTCTCACTAGCAGCTGACACGAAAGAAAGGAGGCGTCTCACTTTACGGCAGTAAAAATCAGGGATTTTACAAATTGATCTCCTCATATCACAGGCGGAGGAAACAACAACAAAGTACATTCACGTCAAGAGGATGTCCCAAGGTGCTGAAAAGCATCACAAATTGCACTTCCATCAGGCGAATGTTCTGAAGTTCAAATCACATTGCAAAAATGAGCAAGGAAATGTCTCTGTTACAGGCTTCACAAATAAATGTCAGGATTTTCCTGAAGGAGACAGTACTGTACTCTGAGAGAAACATTTACCTGCTCCTTGTGACCAGGATTTCACGTTTCTACACTAACCTCACCAAATGTTCCCCAGGTCAGTAACGCAATGGGTTGCACTGGGGTGAAATTCCCTCAACATTGCCTCTTCAATCAAACCTTTTCTCAGGAAAACATAGGGTGATTTGCAGCATAAAGCTCCTTCACACAGCCCTTACCCCCAAATCACCATCAGGCAGCATTCAAACAGCACCACTGACACGATCACAGCCATTCCTTGACAAGCTAGCTTGTCCAAACAGTGACAATTTGGGGTAGTTTGTGCTTTGATTTGTACATGTATTGGGTACAGGCTGAGAGATCACCAAAACTCATCTGAATTGGGACTTTTCACAACCATCAGAGAGAGAGATAAATCTTCTGTTTTGGAATGGGAGTAATGAGCAAACCGTTAGTGCTGATCAGCCCAGTTACAACCTGATCTGTCTTTACAATGGATATAATGCAGAGAAAGGCCACTTTACCTACATTTCAACCTACTCTCTGCACTGCATTTCAACCCACATTTTATGAAATTAAACACTGGTCGCTTCACCATCAGCCCTGACAGAGAGTGAGACGCCTTCAAATTGCTGCTAACTCTGAGAGACATGCTAGTAGTCGTGGTTGATGCATTTTGCCGTGAATATTGATGATTTGAATTTGAATTTCAGTTATTTACTTTTACTTTTTCCAAAATTATAAACTTTCCTGAGAACGAGAATACGAAAAAAAACACTTAAACAGCGCCCCCTTAAACAGCTGGGCTCTGTATAAATGCAAGTTGTTGTGGTGGTAAATCACAAACTTGCGGCGAGCTGTCCGAGCAGGAGGATAGCATATACTGAAAGCAGCCATAACAGCCACTGCCGCTCTCTGATACCAGCTATCTAACACCCCAACACACACAACAATACAAACGACAACAGCTCAGCTGTGCCAGCTTGTAACCATCTGTAAATAGATGTTAGCAATAATCAGCATGTAACAGAAATGAGACTGAGCAGCCCCATCACACAACCCCCTGCCCCCCGCCCCACCCCTGCCCCAAAACTGAACCCACCTGGCACACTGGTGATACACAGCACATGGGCATTGCACACTGTGAAGTGGTCCATGATGGTCCCGGGCTGGTTGGCATCAATGATGACAATCTTACTGGTGGAGTGGGTGCTGGTGCAGATCCACACGCGACTGGAGGCGTCTTGTGTGCTGTGGGCCTTAACAGTAACAAAGAGAATTCACCCCACACAGCACCACAGCAGGTCAGAAGTCAGCCAGGGATTGCTTTGTGCAGAAAGCAAATCTCCATTCCCCAACCCTTTCCGGCCAGTGCCCCCCACCCCACACACTGACTCCCGTTTACCTGTCTGGTTTTATCTGGGGAGCTATGGCTGCTGCTGGTCTTTCCTTCCTTCTCTGTCTCGTGGGTCAGAGGGTCACAGCTGCGGGAACGGCCCAGCCCACAGCCCATGTCCGCAAAACCTGGCTTCCAGCCTGTCAGGTCCACCCCGGCCGCACACCACAGCTGCCAGAAGACAAACACCAACAGTGAGGCCATGTCACACACCCACACCCTGGGGATGGCGCTGCTGCTGTGTACTTACCTTCATGGTGGGATCACGGGCCACCAGCGGGCGGCAGTACACAGGCACGGGCACGTTCTTCATACGGTTGTCCTCCTGGCTGTCGTTGGGGCTCCACTAGAGGAAGAACAAGATCATTGAATTTCCCGGTCAGTTAATCAGAATAAATTTTCCGCTCATTTAACAGGTCAAAACTTGACATGTGACCATGCCTCCACATCCAGCAGTGCAGAGCGAGACGACAAACAGCTCCAAACACAATTATTCCTCAAACGCCACGGAAAACCACGGCACAAAGCCACACACACCGACCCTGTGTGGAGTAAAGCGTCTCTGGCCGGCCTCTCACCTGTTTGTACTTGGCCGGGAGGCTCCAGCCATACGCCTGTAGGCGGTTCCCGTCGTTTTTGACGTACTCCCGCACCTGCCGGTATTGCTCCCGCTTCTGCTCCCGGCGGGTGGAAGAGGTACAGTCCCTGGGAGGGAGGTGGGGAGAAGCAATGGTCAGTGAGGAATGTCTGCCAAATGCTGGGAATCACAGGACGACATGGAAACATACCAACAAAAACAAAATTATATTTGTGTAGCACCTTTCACATCGGGAGGACGTCCCAAGGCCCTGGACAGTCAGTGTTTCGGATCCGAGCTGGGGGTTGGGATTGGGGAGGGTGGAAGGCAGGGGGAAGGAGGTTGATCGAAAGCACGGTCTAAGAAGAGGGACTTGAGATGGGTCTTGAAGGAGGCAAGAGAGGGGGCGAGGCGGAGGGACTGCAAGATGGAGTTCCAGAGGGTGGGGTAGAGTGGCTGAAGGCTCGCCCTCCAATGGTGGGGCGGGCAAGGTGGGGGACGTGAAGCAGGTCTATTGGGGGTTAGGAGGTCGCAGAGGTAGGGGGGAGCAAGGCCATGCAGGACTTTGAAGGTGAAGACCAGGATGTTGAACTATAATCCTCTGTATGATGGGAAGCCAGTGGAGTTCGGAGAGGATAGGGGTGACAGGGTCATAGAGCATGATGCAGGAGAGGACATGGGCTGCAGAGTTCTGGATGATCTGCAGCCTATGGAGGGAGGAGATGGGGAAGCCGACAAGCAGGGAGTTTGCATAGTCAAGTCTGAATGTTATGAATGCGTATTTGAAGGTTTCGGTGGCCTGCGGTGTGAGACAGAGATGGCGGAGCTGGGCAATGTTATGGAGGTGGGGGAAGGCAGAGTGGGTCATGGCACAGATATGGGGTAGAAAGGATAGTCTGGTCAAACAAGATGCCACGGTTCCGGACTGGCTTAGTAAGGTGGAGTGCGCAACCATGGATAGTGATGCTGTCAGTGCCTGAGGTGTGGAGGGAGCCAATCAGGAGAGCCTCGGTCTTGTTGACGTTCAATTGAAGAAAGTTAACTTTCATCCAGGACTTGATGTCTGACAGACATTCTGTCAGGACAGCAGTGGTCCTGGAGTCGAGGGTAGAGGAGGAAAGGTACAGTTGGGTGTCATCTGCATACATGTCAAAGTTGACCCCATGTCTGCGGATGATGTCACCAAGAAGGAACATATAGATATTGAAGAGGAGGGGACCAAGGACAGAGCCCTGAGGAACTCCGCATGAGATGGTGCAGAGGCTACAGGAGAAACCGTTTATGGAGATGAAATGGAGATGCTGTGAGAGGTATGATCTAAACTATTCAAGGATAGAACCATGAAGGTTAAGGTGAGAGGAGAAGTGGTGGAGGAGGATAGAGTGGTCAACGTATCAAAGGCAGCAGAGAGGTCAAGAAGGATGAAGAGGCAGAGGGAGCCCTGGTCTCAGATGGGCAGAATGTCATTTGTCACTTTGACCAGAGCTGTTCCTGTTCTATCGGCAGCACGGAAACCCAAGTAGAAGGGTACCACTGTGGATACCAGAAGCTCCGAGCCCCACATTGTCTCAGTATACAGTGGAATCCGCTTTTGCTGGTTAACCCTGGACATCGGGTAAATCGAGCAAAACTCCCGGCCCCGATTCATCTTTATTCTTACCTGCTTTAAATATGATGGTTAATTCGGACGAAAGTCCGGTTACTCTGGGCAATATACTGCTCTGGTCGCCGCTGAATGTAATCATTCATGTCTTCTGTGTGTCCATTCAGCCATGAAGGACACCAGGACTGGTCAATTAAGTGTAATTGACAGCGGACTCCAGCCATTCACAAGTGTCCAGGAGTTGAGCTGTCAATCAATGAGAGGCGTGGAGGAATGGGGAAGAATATCGTGATTGATGACAGCTAAGCCACTTGTGATTGGGTGGAGCCAATCCAGTCTCAAGCGGCTTCAGGCTGTCAATCACCTCAATGGTAACTGGGCCGGAAGGTACTGTATTTTGCAGCCAAATAAAGCACAATACATTTTACTGAATTCTGTGAGAATATTTTAGCTTTAACTGTTAGTTAACATTGCTTCAAGTGAAACAACGTTATCACATATTATTATACGGCGTCGGCGGTGCTGCTCTGCTGGGCGGGAAATGTATTTTGGTTAACCTCAGAAGACTCTTAAGTCGGACAAAATGTCCGTCCCCGATGTGTCCAGCTTAACCGGCTTCCACTGTATATTGTTTTCAAATGCATTCATCCCTTGTTCCTTCAATCCAGAACACACATCATGAGGACCACAAACCATCTAACTATTCCTGAAAGATGGTCACCGAGATTTACGTGAAAATCTGGGACCAGCCCCGCTCGTCACTGCCTGTCAATCAGAGAACATCCCCTTTGTCCCAGCTCTCTGACTCCAGCTTCCTATCTCAGTCACACATTATCTTCAACTCCACGTGCCTCAATATTAGTCAATACTCTTAATATAGCTAATAATCTCTTAAATCAATCACAAGTTTCTTCATTAATAGACAGTACATGGTGTCAGACCTACAAGAATGATGTCACTTTACTAACATCATTGGTGAGGCCTGTGCTGTGAGAGAGGTCACGAGTGTGGACCTGTGCTGTGAGAGAGGTAACGCATGCTCATGTGTTTTGTCACTGGTCACTTACTCCTCGGGCAGGAGGTCTGCGGTACGGCGGTCCGTGGTGGAGAGCTGGAACATGGTGTGACTGCGGCGCTTGAAGAGCTCGGAGTTGCCATAGGTGTTGGGGGCGGCGTAATGCAGCACAGGAGGGCGCTTGGTCGGCTGGGCAGCAGATGATGGACTGAAAAGACGACTGAAACTGGAACAAAATGAGCAAAGTTAGACAGGACACCTCTGCCCCGATCAGGCTGCTTCTAGACAAAGGACCCACTCTGACCCCAAACTTCCTAATCCTCTACACCAACCCCATCACCAGACTCCTCCTGCTTAGTTTTCCTGTATTAAACACAAGTCACATTATGAAGTGAATTTACCGGTGGTCTTACTTTGACCTCAGTGGCCAAAGCCACTCGACAGAAGTCTATGTTCCCGGCCCCGCAGAGAACACACACTGATCAGAGCCATTGCCATCGCAAGTATCAATCTCAGTATCTGGCCACAAAGTTTGGGACCCTCTTTGTGCTCACAGTCCAAACAAGCCATTGACATGAGCATACAATTGAGACATTTATTATTGTACAAAAACTACTTACAACTGCCAGATACTCGACTTCTTCTTCCCCTGGGAAGTCGGGTTTTCTCGAGATGCTCTAAGAAACAACACAAATGTCAGAACGTCACCATTGTGCCTGGTCAAAACCAGGGGCCAGGGGCTGGGCGGGGCTGCGTGTGCCCCAGGGGGTGAGCGGGGCAGGGGCAGGGCTTGGCATGTGGCCACTGCCTAAAGGAGTTGAACTGCACCTGACCATTGGCTTCACTAGGTGGTGTATCCTGACAGTATAGGAGCTGTGGCTGTTGCTCTAAACACACCCAGCACCAGCTGGACATCTGTTCTCTACAGCTCGCACACTTTCCTTTCTGAGCTGTGGGCAGACTCGGATGCAGGAAGGAAAACGCTTGTCAGACGTTAAGTGGCACTAACCCAGTGGAGAGACCTGAGCAGAGCCAGACTGGGGAAAGCTTCAAAATAAAAGCACGAGGACAAAAACGGAAGAATGATTATGGAATTGCTGATCAGTTAAAGTCTCCAGGGAGAGAGAGCGCATTACACTCCAACAATCTATCTCTGGAAATTCCATGTGTAGCTGGGATGCATGGAATTCTCAATTTGGTTTGGAAACTCTTACGCACGGGATATGCAGAAGGGTAGAGCCAGTTCCATCGTACACTTTCCCACCTGATCATCTCAGTCCACCTGACCGCCTCCTGCAGCTCCATCAGCCGCTCCTTGTACTGATTACGTTCCATCAGCACACGGGCCATCTCCACCCGTGTGAAGCGGCGACGCTGGGCCACCTGCACATCGTCCTGGAGGTCAGAAACATCGCTGGGTCAGAGGGAGCATTCTCCCCATCACTGCACCACCCCTCCACTCTCACTGTATCCCACCCCAACACTGAACACCACCTATAAGCAGCATTGCAGGAACCTTTTCATCCAAAAAATACAGTTCATACACTTTATAGTATGTCCTGTGAAGCACTTTGGGACTTAACCACATGATACGGCCCTATGTAAAATGCAAGGATTATTATTACTTTGATCATTTGTGACTGTTGTTATTTTCCTAATGTTCTGTGGTATTTTCCTCTCTTAAGTTTTCTTGAAACAATGAGAAGAGTGACATGCCAGCTCCTCCCATGTCTCTAATAGTATTCTGTAACCCCCACAGGATGGTCAATCAGAAAATGAGACTCATACAGAAAAAGAGAGACAGACACACACACAGGCTCAGTGAGAAGAGAGGGAGCATGAGAAAGCCAGTATGACAGTGACAGTATGATTCCTAATGGAACAATTTGTTTTGATGAGATCTGTAATCAATTTGGTATTGTGCGTATGTTCACTTGTCCGCTGTTTACTGATCCACAATGGGATTGGTCCCAATTTGTGCTAATAATCGGCTCTCCGCTGTAATCATTAACTCTGTTCTTTAAAAGAGCCACAATTGTGTTAGTAATGAGCCGGTTTTCTTCCTTTTCCAATGTTCTAAAATAAATCCCAATTTTCACATTTTTTAACCGCGTTTTGGTGTCCCCCAAAGTTCTCCCTTTTTACAACAACAACAACAACAAGATTCCATTTATAAAGCGCCTTTCACGTCAGGAGGACGTCCCAAGGCGCTGCACAGTTGGGTCATGACCCGAGCAGGGGGGAAATGGTCAGGGTGAGGGGAGGGAAGGGAGGGAGCGAGGAGGGGGGAAATGGTCAGGGTGAGGGAAGGGAGGGAGCAAGGAGGGGGAAATGGTCAGGGTGAGGGGAGGGAAGGGAGGGAGCGAGAAGGGGGAAGAGAGTCGAGAGGGGAGCTGAAGGCACGGTCAAAGAGAAAGGTTTTGAGACCGGCCTTGAAGGAGGAAAGGGAGGAAGCGGCGAAGGCACTGGGAGATGGAGTTCCAGAGCCTGGGGGCTGAGAGGCTGAAGGCCCGACCACCGATGGTAGGGCGGTTGGGGCGGGGGACGTGGAGCAGACCAGAGCCAGAGGAACGGAGGGTACGGGCAGGTAGGTAGGGGGATAGTAGGTTGGAGAGGTAGGAGGGAGCAAGGCCGTGAATGGCCTTGTAGGTGAGGATGAGGATCTTGAAATCAATCCTCTGGGGGATGGGGAGCCAGTGGAGGCGAGCGAGGGTGGGAGTGATGTGGTCGCGAAGCCTGGTGCGGGACAGTACACGAGCTGCAGAGTTCTGAATGACCTGCAGCTTGTGGAGGGAGGTGCCGGGAAGGCCGGCGAGGAGAGAGTTCCCATAGTCCAGCCTTGAGGTGACAAAGGCGTGGACCAGGGTTTCAGCAGCGTGAGGGGTGAGGTAGTGCCGTAGTCTGGCGATGTTCCGGAGGTGATGGAAGGCGGTGCCAGTTGTGGTGCGGATGTGAGGGAGAAAGGACAGCTCAGGGTCGAACAAAACGCCGAGGTTCCTGACTGGCTTTGAGAGGTGGAGAGTGCAGCCTTGGATGCTGATGGTGTCAGCGCCTGAGGTGCGGAGGCGCTGACGTGAGCCAATCAGGAGGGCCTCGGTTTTTCGCACGTTGAGCTGAAGAAAGTTGTCTCTCGTCCAGGACTCGATGTCGGACAGGCAGGCTGTCAGGACATCGGTGGTCGTGGAGTTGAGAGTAGAGGAGGAAAGGTAGAGTTGGGTGTCATCCGCATACATGTGGAAGTTAACTCCATGTCTGCGGATGATGTCACCGAGGGGGAGCATATAGAGGGTGAAGAGGAGGGGACCGAGGACAGAGCCCTGAGGGACACCACATGAGACAGTGCGGGGGGTGGAGGAGAAGCCATTCGTTGAGACAAAGTGAAGACGGTGAGAAAGGTACGACCTAAACCATTCAAGGACAGTGCCTTGAAGGTTGAGGTGGGAGGACAAGCGGTGGAGTAGGATAGCGTGGTCGACCGTATCGAATGCTGCCGATAGGTCGAGGAGGACGAGGAGACAGAGGGAGCCCTGGTCACAGATGGTCAGGATATCATTGGTGACCTTGACCAGGGCAGTTTCTGTGCTATGGGCAGCACGGAAACCTGACTGAAGGGGTTCGAAAAGAGAATGGGTGGAAAGGAAAGAGCGCAGTTGGGAGGCGACAACTCTTTCCAAGACCTTGGAGAGAAAGGGGAGGTTGGAGATGGGCCGGTAGCTTGATAGCTGCGACGCATCAAGGGAGGGTTTTTTCAGGGTGGGCGTGATGATGGCAGTTTTTAATGGAATGGGGACAGAGCCAGAGGAGAGGGACAGGTTGATGATGTCAGTGATATGTGGGGCAAGAAAGTGGAGCTGGGAGATAAGGAGTGGAGTGGGGATGGGGTCAAGGGAGCAGGTGGTTGGTTTTAGGGATAGGATGAGTTCAGTGACAGAGGGTGGGGAAACGGGTACGAAGGTGTGTAGGGGAGGATGGGTAGGAGTCGGAGTGTGGGAGGGAAGGGGTGGGGGTGGGTGGAAGTTGGAGGGGAAGTGACCGCGGAGCGGATTCCCTTGATCTTGGATTCAAGGAAATCCAGCATCTCCTCGCAGTGAAGGTTGGAGGAGATGACCTGCGCGGGGTGGCGGGGGGGACGGAGGAGTCGGGTTGTGGTGGAAAACAGTAGCCTGGGGTTGTTCTTCGCCTCCAGGATTATCCTGGAGTAGAAGGACGACTTGGCCTTCTAAACAGTAAACATCAGCCACGATAAAGCCGAGGGTTTACTCTGTGCTAAAGCGACAAGAAATAAATTAAAGAATTAAACAACAGTCACTTACACTTACATCCTCCAGCTCTTCTTTCCCCTCTTTACTATTCAAGGCCACAATCGCTTCCGACTTCACTCTGAAAAAAACACACACACAAACATTTCTACATACAGTGCAACTTGCCTTGCTGTTCATTAAGCCACTAATCCAAAAGCCATGTGATTGGTGTTACTGACTCACACATCAATCAGAATTCAAACCCAGGACACAAGATGCATGAGGTCTCAATGTGTCAAATATGACCTCAGCCAAACCCTGGGGGAGAAGGGAAGACAGCAAAAGCTGGAGGTGAATCACTCTGATCTGCTCTTACACACCTCCCATTGCAGGTGGCGCAAAGGACATCAGGGGACAAAGCTGGTGACCTGCTGGTGTTTAATGTGGCACAGCAAACAATGCAGATCACCCACCGCAGTGTAAGGGTTCAGTGCCAGGCTCCATACTGTCGTGTCAAACCCTGCAAGCTAAAACCCTAACGGGTAGGGTGTTCCCAGCTTGACAAGCTGATTAGACTCCAGCAGTTACCCCAATGCACACTGAGGAGTGCCGAAGCCTTGGCTCTTGCCAACCTGTGTTTAATATTTTCCAGAATTAGGTAAACAGGATGCGTCTCCAGGGAGAGAGAGCGCGCAAATTCCATTCCAACAATCTACCTCTGGGATTTCCATGTGTAAGTGGGATGCATGGAAAACTCAGCTTGGTTGGGTTGGATACTCTTAAGCATGGTGATGGGTTTCTGCATGTGTCAGACACCTGGCTGACCCTCCCCACCCACTTATCAATCTGAGATGAGCTATCAGAAGCTGCTCTGAGGTCTCTCACCTCTTCAGCTCATCCTCCAGCTCCTTGAGCCGGCTCTCCGCTTTGGCCTTGGCTTGCCTGACGGTCTCCAGCTCCCCCCTCAGCACCTCCTGCTCACTCCACAACTCGTCCACCTTGGCAATCAGGTCGTCTTTCACAATGTTCAGGGCGTTTCTAAACATACAAGCCAACACTCACCCACGGCACATACAATCCGAGCAGATCTCCCAAACCACAGACAGCAAAATATACAGCCCAGCCCAAGCACCAACCCCAGCACCGGCCCAACCCCAGTACAGCCCCAACCCTGGTCATAATCTCTCATCACACACCAGCTGATACCTGTTATCAAGCTCATTCTTGCGGAAGAGACTCTCCATTCAAATGGGTTCATCAAACAACAACAACAACTTGCATTGATACAGCACCCCTCATGCAGGGTAGTGTCCCAGGTGCTTTACCCAAACCCCTCTCCCCCACACCTCCCCACCCCTCTGGCATGAAGCAGAGTAAATTAACAGAGAAAATTTATCTTACTTGGTCTCCAGAAGTTGAGTGTTCTCCATGATGAGATTTTCCACTTCCTTTCCCATTCCTGCAAAGCGCACCAGTGAGATTATGTGTGTTTGTTACATGTATCTTTAGGCATTTGTGTATACACAACACACACAGCACACACACAGCAAAGAGCAGAGTGCACAGCACACACAGCACAATGCACCCAACACAGCGCAAACACAAACACAGCACGGTACACACAGCACAGCATCGAACACGGCACAGCGCCCACTCACAACAGAGACCCACTCAACGCGCACACACACACAGCATGCGCACAGCTCCCACTCACACACCCACTCAGCGCGCACAGCACAGCATGTACGCAGTGCGCACACCCAGCACAGCACGCACATGTGCACACACACACACAACACAGTTCCCACTCACAGCATGCACTCAGCACAGCGCTCGCGCACAGCGCGTACACACAGCATGCACACACACACACACACACACACACACACACAGCACACACAGCACAGCGCGCGCACATACACAACACACACATGTGCACACACCCAGCACAGCACGCGTGCACCGCGCGCACACACAGCATGCACATGTGTACACACACAGCACAGCGCGCACAACACATTTCCCACTCACAGCACCCATTCAGCACAGCGCTCGTGCACAGCACAGCGCGCGCACACAGCATGCACGCACACAGCGCACATACAGCAGCGCACACATGCACACACACCACAGCGCGCGCACAGCACACACACACACAGCACGCGCACACACAGCACACGCACACACAGCACAATGCAGCAGTGCCCATGGCACCACACAACTAACAGCACTTCATACTCGTCAATCTAGCCATTCTTTACCTCAGTGAATAGTCCACTGTCATACACACTCACTCACATCGCAGTGGATGGTCTACTCACACACACTCCAGTCACAGGGAAAAGGCATGAATGAGACACAAAGCTCTCTGACTGGGAGATGAAAGCACATGCACCCAGTGATACTCTATTTTAATGGGATCTCTGCCCTCGGCTCAGTGCGACAGCTCATAAACATCTCTGATGCTTTAAACGTTGCTGTTCTAAGGCTGGTATCCAGTGGGAAAGTGGGATCAACTTTCCATTTTTCACAATGACCTTTCTATTCCAACTGCCAATCACAGTGCCAGGAAATCATCCCTTGGGGTGGGGAGAGGCAACAATACTTTATAATAATAATAATAATAATCCTTGCATTTGATATAGCGCTTTTCACGTCAGGAGGACGTCCCAAAGCGCTTCACAGAACACACTGTAAAGTGAATTGACTGTATATTTGTGGGCGAACGCGGCAGCCAATTGCGCACAGCAATGTCCCACAAACAGTCGTAGATTGAAAATGACCAATTTAATTATTGGTTTTGGTTTTTTGGAGGGATTATTATTAGGCTCTGTGTGGAGTAAGGAAACTTGCCCAAGGTTTCACCCTCTGCCTGGAATTGAACTCAGGTCGCTCACTTGCAAAGCGAGTGCTCTAACTTTATATTCTTACGTTTCAATTTTACGTCCTCTGCCGTGAGCGAGGCACTGGATCTGTGGCCCAATGGTCTCACCTAAACCGTCCTGTGTCAGTGACCTGGTCACAAGGTCACACACTCACTGATGCCCATCGCTTGGCCAGCAATCAACATTCAGAGGGTCCTGGAGATGGTTTGCACTAAAAAGCGATTTCTTTGTGATAAATAACCTGCCTTAAAGCAAACAGGTTTATTGGTGAGCCCGGGAGCTTTCAGACCAGGGTCACAATGAGGATTTGGTCAGAGGTGTAGAATTAAAACACTCGGTGTCACTGCTGTCACGGTTTGTTGCATCAGAATTGTTATTGTGCAGAGACCTGATTAGCCAAAATCTGGCTTTGCTATCACTGCACACAGCGGCACCGTTGCGCACTAACCCTACTGTAAAAAAAGACTAACCTCTCTGGAGCACAAAGCTCAGAGTAATCAGAGTAACTAACGTACTGTACTCACTGTACAGAATTGAGGCCTCAAAACACAAAGAAGTTATTGTAATGACTAGTCCAAGCTTTTCTTTGTGCCATTCACAGCATCAAGAATTCCATCGCATTCACACTCACAGTGAGGGGTCACTGGGACCTCATGAGACTCAATCGCAGTGTGAAGCTTGGGCTCCAGCACCAACTAAGTTTTTGCAATGGCAGAATGTGTGTTGTGAGGATCGCTAAGAGCTTCCCAAGAAAACAAGCAGTGTGACCCCACCCCTCACTGTGAGTGTGACATCCTCCCGACATGAAAGGCGCTATACCAATGTAATGTTATTGTTGTGACCCCTCTTACTGTGAGCGTGAATGCCTCACACTATGAGTGTGACCCCCCCCCCCCACCTCCCTCACTATGAGTGTGAATGTGATGGAATTCCTGATGGTGTGACTGGCACAGAAGAGAGCTTGGAATAGTCATTACAATAACGTAAATTAAATTGTAAACCTAATAGAATTGTGTTTGCACAGCATCAACTTGTGTAACTTTCAGGATAAATTAGAAAGGCGTTACGTGTGGCAGAGCGTCTCACAAACGCTGGTACCAGCCAGGGTGCACCTACAGGGACACACTCAACATCTCACCTGTGTGCTGAGCACAAGCTACTTTTTAAGACAATTCATTGGGTTTTACTCTCCATATGACCTTGTTATACCTGGCTGGGGACTGCTTGCCGCTAACCCTAAAGTTATAAACGTGCTCCATAACCGGCATTGGCCTGGCAGAGATGTGCCTTTATCTCAGAAATTAGAAATCCAATGACCAGGTTGCACAGAAACTTCCAGTTATATTTAGAGTGTGAGGATTCACTGTTAAATTGTTTGTCTTTCCATTGTTAAATTAACGTCAGGAGCTGATGGATATTCAAACTATGGCCCTGATAACACTTCAACTCTGCATTGAGCAACAGAAACACTTTGAAATATGGTGACTCCCTCTATAGCTCTAGTTACATTAATGTGCATTATGAAACCTTTCAAACGCAGCCAGGAGCTGAGGAAGTGTTAATAATAATAATATTAATCCTTGCATTTGATATAGCGCCTTTCATCACGACTTCGAGATGTCTCAAAGCGCTTCACAGAATATACTGTAAAGTGTTACTAGGGTTTACCAGGAAGCTTAGTTGAGGCCCAGATATTGGGACTCATTTAAAAAGGCAGTTTGATGCTGTGATGGTGGGAGGGTAGGGTAGGTGTTCTGGAGGGATGGGATCTTCTTCATCCAAACTGATCTTGTGAAAGGTGCTCTACCAAACAAGGATTATTATTCACAATTATTTTCCCCTTGATCTAATCGAGCAATATTTTGAGGGGAGACAGTGCATTATTGAACTCACAAAGTCTCAGGCCATGCAAACACATAAAATGGTCCTCATGTTCCCTGTTACTGCACACTGAAATATTTACAGACATTGGTTTGTGATAGTAAGTGCCACTGTGTGCCTGTGAAGCAAGTGATTGTCGCACTCGGGGACAGAGGGTGAACCTGCCCTCTACCTGCACTTGTAATCACACCTTTTATCCCTGAGGTATCAGTCTCCCACTACTCAGTGCTCAGCTGGTGTTAAGCAATATCAAAACTGATGCAAAAAATGTCAGATATGCAAGGTGTGAAGATGTTACTTTTGTAAGTTGTCAGAAAGTGAAACATCTCTTTGTAATAATTTAGTTGATCAGCTTTAGATAAGCTGCTCACTCTATGTTCTCCAAACAATATTCAAAACAACCCCCCCTCCCCGGAAATCGCCCCTAATCATAAATATTATGAATTATTTACTTGGGTTATCTACACTCAGAACCTATTTATTAATTGATTTTTAGGTTTCTAACCCCACAATTACATCAAATTGTCTCCGATGGCTAGTTCTGATCTCTGATATTTGAGCACTGTCAGGCTGCAGCAAACCACAGATCAGTCTCCAGGAACTATTCTCCTGCTCTGTCAAACACACATATGAAGAGACAGTTCTGAGCCTATGCGCATCAGACTTTAATGATATTTAGCTACAATGTGGGCTGAGCGACTTGCTTTTGCTCCTTTCACTGTAAGCGTGGAGATGTTGTGTAGCTGAATGGTCCAAGGACCGTCTGAAAACCATTCAAAACTCTGGAATTAGAGTGATGTGAGCAGAAGGGGCAACAAGCAAACAGCAGTGATCACACCCCAGCAACGACGACAGGACAAACACACAGGATCACAAATAGAACAAGCAGCCCCTTCCCCAGCCTCAAACTGCATGAAAGAATGGAAGGAACAGAGCAGCCCAGCGCTGCCCCGCAGAGAGGTGTGGGGGGGGGGGGGGGGGGCGGGTGCAGAATAGATGGAAAATGAATGAAGGAGGAAGGAAAATGGTGGCAGGAACCTTACCGAAGAAATCATCACGCACTAAGAGCGCAGTCCGATTAAAGGGGAAGGGAGCAAAAAGAGAGAAAGAAGCATTATGCACCAGTTTGTCTGACATCATACAGATCCGACTGCTGATTAACCTCCTGTCCTGCTCAGTGAGGGAACCATACTACACTTCAGCTGCTTATTATCACTAATACCTCAACAAGACTCACAATATAATAGAACCAGCATTGGGAACATGATCCTACAGAAAGTCACCTGAGATACACTTAGCCTGTGTACGGTCTAGGTCACAGTAACTAAGTCCACTTCACATAGAAAACTACAGTCACTATTGTCCTGAGGCAGGGGAAAGGGGGCAGGTGGGGAGGCGGGAGTGGGGAAGGCAGGGAGTAGGAGAGGGGGAGGGAGGGTGGCGGGGAGTGGGAGGGAGGCGGGGAGTGGGGGGGGGAGGGAGGGTTGCGGGAGTGGGAGGGTTGGTGGGAGGGATTCAGGGAGTGGGAGGGGGGGAGGGAGGGTTGCGGGGAGTGGGAGGTGGGGTGTCGGGGAGGGGGAGAGGCGGGAAGTGGGAGGGGGGAGTGGGAGAGGGGGAGGCGGGAGTGGAGGCGGGAGTGGGGGAGGTGGGAGAGGAGGAGGGAAATATATGTCAACAAGATTGTGCACAACACTGTACATTGTTAAGTCAAGTTTCTTCCACTCATGGGCCAGACTTTCAGTCCATCACCTGGTTTCCTATGAGATCCTCTGCCTGGCAGTCACTCTCTCTTCTAACCTGGACGTTGTGATTGGAGATTGTCCCACAGCTGACATTAAGGGTTTCGATTTTCCTCTCAGAACATACCTTGCCTGAAGAGGGTGACTCAGGTAAAATAATAATAATAATAATAATCATGCTGGGATTGCCCTCTGCCCGTGGGCAGGAGCTCAGGGATCTAAGTGTAGCGTTCCTGAGCTAACACAGAGGGAAACCTGTCCTGATGTCTGCTGCTACTGCAGAGTGGAGGGAGCCTGACCAGTAACCTGAGCTAAGCAAACACTCGGAGGCACTAGGAGGACATTCGGCAAAGGGCCAGGTCTTACAATGCAACCGCACTTTGACTTTGAGGCAGACAGGGAGCACAGGCTGGAGCCAGGCAGTGAGAAAGAGAGCACAGCCGCGGGGGGAGTATCACATGTGTATAGCAGCAAACACACACCAATCGCAGGAGAGATACACACCTGAAAACTCCCCTATGGAGATGTCCAGCGCAAGCGACACACAGACAGACAGACAGTCAGGGAGGGAGGAAGAGGAAGCAAAAAAAGTCAATCAATAATTAAAGGTTAAAAGAAAATCATAAAAACATCAATCAACCTGCAGGCATTTCAATGACAGTGAAATGGAATTGTAAAGGCCAGACCAGCGGTGAGCGCCCAAAACGAGACTGACATCAAATCTAACACGTTTGCTGCAATGTGCCTGTTTAGTGTACCCACCGTGCTAATCCCCACTCACCCTGCTCTCAAACTGCTGTGCTGTCAGACAGCCGGTCCCTGAATGTTATATTGCACAGTCACTGACAGCCCAGCCACGGTCAAACACGCCGCAGCTGGCAATCGCAGTCACAGCCTCCCATCAGCTATAAAAACACTGAAATCTGTAAATCTAGCCAAAGGAAGTGCTAACATTACATTAATGAACACTTTTTTTTTGCTACCGTGTCAGCTAATCCTCTAATCCTCAGCGGTGTTTGCTACAAGATGTAAACACGGGATAGAAATCGTCCTTCAGTTGTTCAGACAGGCAAGGCACGGCGAGGCGGTAAGTGAGGATTGATTGGGTGCTGCAGCAATGCAGCGCAGCACAGCAAGGTCTGGCTGATCGAGAGGGACTTTCATGTAATGTCAGAGCCAGCATTCACACTCTGTTTAATGCGGCCATTTCCCTCATCTCAGCATCTGATCAGTTTGGAAATAACACATTCGAGGTGAGGGCGACCACTCTCGTTTCTCCTCCCAACAGCTTTGTAAAACAAACTGTAACAATGGTCATTGAACATGGCCAAAGAATACCGCAGTAATTATGCATCACCGCACATCTCTCCTTCCTTACATCCCCTCTGGACTCAGTCCTGGTGTCTGTCCTGCTGCTTTCTCACTCCACAAGCAGTGAAGCACTGTCCTGCCAGCACTGAACGCAATGAGAAAAACTGAATGCCCGAGGGCCTGGCTGCTCGTCTCCATCAGTGACTTCCCTGTGTCCCTCGGGTGTGTTCAGGACACTCCACATCTATCTCTGAATGAGAACAATACTGTCTGAGAGTAACCATAAATGTGTAATTGTGTACGAGTATGAATTTGCATGTGTGGGTGGGATGCATGGAATTCTCAATCTGGCTGGGATAATCTTGAGCACGGTGATGTATCAGACACCAGGCTGCCCAAAAAAANCTATATGTATATACTGTATTTTACATACAAACACAGAAACAGGCCTTTACATCAAGTTTGCACTGGTCTTTTTCTGCATATAAGCCACTTAAATTGAATCCCGTTTTCTTGCTCATACATCCAAAAACCCTTTTAATATCCCTCTTTTTCAAGCAATGTACTAACCACTGATCTGTGCCTTTATCCAGAATGACAAACAATAAACAAGCTCAAACACTGTACATCTAGTTGATGTTGTGAGCTGCATTCGCGCCGTGTTCTCTGCTTCTCCACGGACGTGATACACCCCAACGTGTTAAGATCAGGATATGAAACCTGCTGCCATTATGTCCAGTAAAAGAATAAAGTGAGCGGAGTTTCAGGCAGGACAGACAGTCACGCTGCCCTCAATGCTGACTGCTTGGTGAGCATCAGCACATTGGGCTGTGTTAGTGACAGGGCCAACAAGCCTCACACCAGGAGAACACGGGCAGGACAGGCAGTGATCAACAATACAGACACTGCACAGAGACCCGTGAAAGGATAAAAAACAGGCAGAAGCAGAGAACCAGCACTCAACTGCCATGTGAGAGAGAGAGCTCAGAGATGGTCACGAGGTGTCCAGGGCTGAAGTGGAGAGTTGCCGCCTTAGCAAGGTTATTCAGGATGTTAAACTTTTGGATGATTTGATTTGGCCAAAAGTACAATTTGAACCAAGTGTTGGTGCCTCTTGAGCCCTATTCTTGAGAGACAGAATTGCAGACACTGGATGCTATTGGCTGTATTTCAGAAAACTGAATCCAAACCAGTCTGTGGAAATACACCTTCAACCTGTGGCTTCTAGAGGGCAGTTTGAGACGATGACAACAACAACAACTCGAATGGTAGCGTTTAACAGGAGGGACGAGGAAGGTCTTCAGTCAGGATCTAAAAAGAGGGGAAGGAAAGGGGAGGACCGAGGGATTGGGGGATAAGACTTCCAAAGCTTCGGGCCGTAGTGGCTGAAAGCATGGTCACCGGAACGGAGGACACGAGGGATACACAGCTGGCCAGACCCAGTCGAGTGGAGGCAGTGGGTAAGCAAGGGGAGTAAGCATGTCAGAGAGGTAGGCATGAAGGTATTTGTAGACGAGTGAGAGGATCTTGAAATCGATCTGTTTTGTGATAGGGAGCCAGTGGAGCCTGGTGAGGACTGGTGTGATTGAGGTACGGAATTTACTGCGGGTGAAAATACGGGCGGTGGAGTTCTAGAGGTGGAGGAAAGCAGTCCTGGTCAGCGACCGGATGTGGAGGAGGAAGGACAGCTGGGGGTTGTACCTGACGCCCAGGTCACATAAAGGTTCATTAAGTCTTAGGAAAAGGCTGGGGAGGTCAGAACGCAGGAGAGAAGATGCTGACGGGAGCCAAGGAGTATGGCTTTCATCTTGTCGACGTTCAGCTGCAGTTTACACTTATCCAGGCCTTGATGTCTCACAGAAAAGTTGACAGATATCAGGACCTGGAGTCACAGCTGGTTGAAGAGAAGTAGATTTGGATATCATCTGCATACATGTGGAAGTTTACCTCATATCTCCGGAAAACATCGCTGAGAGGGAGCATTTAAATGAGGAAAAGGAGGGGGGCCAAGGATGAATTAGAGAAGGAGCAGGATTGTGAGGCTTTGCTTGTATCTCGTCAGGAACAAACGCGAGACAAAGATGGAGCTGCCTCTCATACTCTGTGGTTTGTGCACAGCTGATATTCTGAAACACCGGAGAAAGATTGTTCAACTGGCCAAACTGGTACCAAGGGGGCATGGACTTTGAATGTCCCTGGAAGAGTTAATGGAAGGTGATTAGCCCATTTGTGGCATTGCTTTGCCACATAGGCTAAGAGAAGATTTGTCAAGAAATTGGATATTTGAAGAGGCGGAAGAGGAGCCTGTGGGGACACAGCACGGACTGGCGGAGTGAGCGCCTCCTATCCTTGTGTCTCTGTAATTGGTCCCAACTTGTGGGGAAAGAACACAAGTCAGTTATGGAATACAGAATGCCAGCGTGCAAACATAGTTGTATAAATGGCTATTAACCCATTACTACAGAGATCTGATTAGTCTATCATTGATTACCATATCGTGGAGGTATGTACCACCAATAACGACAGAATTTGGCTCATGTCACTAACGATGATTTGAATTCATCAGTTAATTAATCTGATGGCAAAAGTCTTCCCACTCAGACTGGTATCTATACACAGTAAGTATAACCACTGAATGCAACGCTGTCTCTCAAAATGCCAACTGCAGTCACACTTCACTGCAGAGCAAATGCAAAGCTTTCCATGGGTGACTGAGAAGATATTTAAATAGAAATTTTCCGAATTGATACTAACTTAAAACTTCATAGGATCTCAGAGTGAATCTTCTTCAGCACCAAAACTCACAGAGTCCTGCCAGTGATAATCACTGGCTAAGTCAGTGTTCAGAGCACGGCACTAAACTCGCAGCATTAAACCTCCAGCTTCAGCCCGCACCAGTGTGCTTGCGCTCGGAACCAACTAATGATGGGGTTCAATACAGTTCCTGATCCAACTGAAGGTTTAGGATTGGTATTCGGTCCTGATCCATTGTAAATATCAACAGGATAAAGTGCTGCTTTGGATCAAACATTTAAGATCCCTGTGACAATATGCCTGATTATCAAGTCAAGAATAATCTAGAAAGAAAAATTGATATTGGCTTTTTGCACTGTTGAAAGAGCAACAATTCACATAGAAACCTGCCAGCACTTTAAAAATATTTGGAAATAATCTTCAGTCACCTGTCCTGTTGGCACAATAGAAAAGTGTGACTAGATTTGGAGAAAGGGGGGTTTGAATCAAGAGGGCCATTTCCCTCCAATTATCTGGCCAGGCATTGCCTGAAGAATATTGGATTGCTGACAACTTTCTGTGTGATTTTGATTTTTCCATGTTAATTGGTCCAAAAGGAAATGTACAGAGGCCAATGAGATGCCCATCTCTTGGTTTGTCAACTGCAATGTGGCTCTTAATAACTGGAGGAAAACAAAAACATTGCTTGACACATGCATTAATGTTTTACAATGTTCCACATTCTAAATAAATATGGAATCATCTTGTGTGCATGTTATATAAAAAAAATCACATGCAGATTGAAGGTTGAACATATCAGTGAGTATTCAAAGGGTTAATGATAGCAAATGACAGTGAAAAAAAATCCTTGATGATAAATATTCATATTTTCAACCTTGCAATAGAAACTTGATACTGGCTATTCTCAACCAGAACAGAAGTTAGACTCTAAACTTATCAAAAATGCAAAGCAACTCACATCAGTTTAACCCGCCTTTCAAATCTACTTAAATAATTAACTTGGGTCTTACTCACCCAGCACAAGGACTGGATAAATTAAATGAACACATAAAGCAACTTAGTAGGAAGGGCCATGGCACATAATTTCACTCTCACATGCATCTGCAACCTCAGCCAGGTGTATGGTGAGGTGGAGGGAATTCAGGGGCTTTCTCAGTGTGAACGATTTCAATGTGCTGGGTCATTATCAGTGAATTTACAGAGAAGCAGAGGCGTGGGAGGAGGGTGCCAGCAGTGATTGGTCAGTGACAGGGGAGAGGGCGGGGAGAAACCCTGACTGGGATCATTAAACTTAAAGCGCAGAAAGAGGTCATTCTGGCCATTGAGTCTGTGTTGAGACTAACTTACACTTGCAGGACGTACACGCAATTCTTTGAACAAAATTTACCTTTTTTGTTATCATTATAACTTAAAACTAACACATCATTTTTTGCACTCAACAAGAGAAAATGCATTTTCTTGTAGCAATCCTGAGTTTGAAATGATATGGTTGTTTACCCTTTTTCCTGGGTTCAACCAGATTTATGGCCATTTGGAATTTGCATTAAAAACTATTTTTGGACCTTTCAAACTGAATTTCCAATTTAAATTCTCTGTCAAACCGGGGTGAGTGTGACTTACCCAGCAGGTCGGCTCCCTCATCCACATCTCCAATGACCTCTGAGCCGGCAGTGGAAAGCTCATGGTAAAGAGAATCAGTGTTGATCCCAAATGCCTTGTTTACAATTCCCTGTGTGGGACTGAATCAGCCAATTTATACAATCAGACAAGTACAGAATGAACAAAACCAAGATTGACACACCTGCTCCAGCTCACTGAGCATACCAGGTCATCACCAATACCCTTATACACCACAGGAGTAAACCTGACCCAAGCAACCAAAATGAGCAGGGGTGTACAAGCGTGCATAAGGCCTGCCGTCACCAGATTTAACAAGTGAACAAAGTTGTACACCCGGTTGCAATTCTCCATACTCGCTACCCAGGCAAAAACAGTAAATAAAGTTGCCTGTCTGTCGGTCAGAGTCTAGATACCATCTGGCAAAGTGCTGTCCCATTCAGATCACACAATCATCAACAGAAGATTTGAACTGAAAGACTACCTGTTGCCTCCTGGTCCGTCGCAGCGTGGATCCTGACACATATCCAGTTCTGGGGTTGAATCAATAATGTCCTGAACATCAGACCATTCGTCACTGCTTCCCATTCCTACAAAGTGATTTCCAAGAGAACATGAATATCATTAAAGAAATAAATTAAAGAAACGGCCAAAGAAAGCCGAGTGTGAGTAATAGGTAGAGTTTGTTACACTGAGAGACATGGTATATCAGACAATTATATAGTGAGGGTGTGGTACAGAATGTTACCGAGAAGGAAATGATAGGTAATAGACTGATATAGTGAGGAGCACAGTATTTGTATATTAACTTTGGGTGCATTGCTACTTATGGAGAGGGATGAGAGCTTATCAGGGCATAACTTATTCATCCACACTACAGTCAGGAGTGTGCACATACTGAGAATGTTTTAGTGATGGCTGTGGGTATAAAGAGTTTTATAGCGAAGGCAACGATAGGAATTGTTCACATATAAAGTTGGAATAAAACCAAGATGAAGCTTACAGAGGTTATGACCGACAGTAAGTTACTCACCACATCACATCCGTCATATTATGACTAATAAGTACTTGAGAGTGAATAGAAGGTAGTTATTTCATTTGATAAATTGTTTAGATGACAGATTTAGAGTAATAGCTACTTGAGAGTGATTACAGGTCAGAAAGTACAGAGGCTTTGATAAGTCACATATAGCTTAATTGCTACCTAGCGATAATCACAACAGAAAATATCAGAATTTATAGAAACAATAGAAACCTGGAGCGAGACATACACTGTAATCGGTTTACGGGTCTGAAGATTTACCAGAGAGATTGTGAACTGGTGGATACTGTATTTCCAGTGGTTTAAGGGAACATTAAAACTTTTTTCTGATACCATCAGTGCCATCCGTGGCAATAAATCCAGGACAGAAAAATGTCTTTCATCATGGACAACACCAGCTACTTTTAGAATATAGAATAATTTGGTTAGCTTTTACTCTATGTCTCACATCAACAATTCAGGTTGTGAATATTGCAGAGTCTGAATAAGGGATTGGCCAGTGTCCCCGGCTGAAAAGACCAATGAACTGAGCTCTTCCCTGTGCCAGGGCCACTCTCATGTGTGGTTTTGCTATCCATGATCTGGTGGCAAAATCGGTCTTCTAATTGGAATTGACCATAGCCTGTGCCACATATCACCAAGGAGGTACTTTTAAGAACACCTCAGTTTGTCTCTGTTGAGGTATAAATGCAGTGAATGTGAATCAATTGGACTCTGTTCTCCCATGGTCTGCAGTGAATTAGACAGCCAACTTTCAGGAGCTATTTTTAAAATGTCTAAAAAAAAGTGAATTTTTTTTTCTTTTTGAAATGGTTGTGAGACCAGTTCTTCAATAACATTGAAAACTGAACTTGATTTTGAGCTCTGTGGCTGCACCGAATAGGAACCAGGTTTCCTGCTGTACCAGCAGAAACAGTTGGCAGTTATATAGAGGGCTGGGAAGACCACATAATAGTAAGTGGAGGATCACAGAGTGACTGACCGCTCAGTACAGGACATGGCTTAGGAATGGGAACTTGGTTCAAATATCAGAGGATCCTAAGGGAATCCAGCCTTGCATCAAATCTATGCCTCCAGAGTTCCGGGCACTATAACTGGAACACATAGTGTAATACGTTCCTGTTTTCAGCGCTGACATTCCTCAAGGTAATGAGCACGGAAAAAGGCGGAAGGAACACGAGCAGTCTCTCACCTATGCTGACATTCCTCATCTCCTGGGTGACCTGGACCTTCATGTTTCTGCTATTACCTTTCTCCTTTCTCTGGTTCTTGAGTTTGGTAGCTCCGTTGTAGATTGGATTAACAACTTCATTCAGTGGAGTGACGGCTGCGGAGGGTACAGACGAGGTTGGGGTGTTAGACTTTGTCCCAGCGGTGCTTGGGGTGGCCGCAGTACTTGGGGTGTTCACAGCAGACGACTGCTCAGACTCCAATGTATCATCCTGACACAAGACAAAACTATTATCGTATCAACCTGTCCGCTCCTCCCTCCACTCAGCAGGCTCTGGCCTGCCCCATGTCCCCCACCCGGGCTGTCCCACCATCGCCAGTCAGGCCTTCAGCCTCTCCGTCCCCACCCTTTGGAACTCCATCCCACATTACCTTCACCTTGCTCCCTCCCTCTCTTCCCTCCTTCAAGGCACATCTCAAGACCCTCCTCTATGACCGCGCCTTCAGCCTCCCTCCTACCATCCACGCTCCCTGATCCCAATGCACCCCCGTCACATATTTTTCTATATTAGAACAGGTTCAACAAACATCGGTGGATTGTGGTTCTTAAAATACACCAGGAGCCTTCCCCCACCTCCGTAATATTGCCGGTGATTTGATCAAGCGGCTGCCCACGGAGATCCAGCACAGGGAACAGGCCCAAAGTGTTTGGTCGCTCCTTCCTACAGGGAAAGGAAAACAATGTGTAAGACATCTCTTATTCACTTGAGCAAAAAGTACTTAAACACTTCAGTGAGGAAACATGAAAACAAATGATACTCAATCCACTGGCTTCTAACAGTGACACTCGTCAGCAAGACACAGATTCACTCTGAACGAGCTGCTGTGTTAAAAAGTAAATCCACATCAATACTTTAGGATGCAACGAGACAGTAGAACAAGAGGGCAAAGGTTTAGAGTTGTAAAGGGCAATTTTATGACAAGATACCAGGAAGTCTTCCTTTACCTAAACGGTAATTAACAACTGGAACAGGGTTACCAGGACACTGGGACTCATTTAAAAAGCAGCTCGATGCTGTGATGAGGGGATGGCAGAGTGGATGGTCTGGAGGGATGGGACCCGATGGATCAAAGGGCCTCCTTCATTCTAACCAATCTGTGATGTTACAAGGTAACAGACATTTCAGAATTGAAAGATTGGAAATGTGATGCAATTCAGAATTAGCAAAGGAGGGAGGGTATGTTGGGTCTGAGGAGTTCCCTTGATAATGACACTTGTCTCTGTGTCACCTCGAGGGGCTGGGAATCCTGGTTTGCTCCAGGTTATCACATTCTCTAAAGATTAAATGTTTGGGGAGGTTTTGTGGGTTTGAGCTTGGAATGTCACTCGCACATTCTGAACACAGTCAACAAAATGTAAAATGTGCAAGAAGGACACACATACAATAAAGCAGTTCATGTATTCGTGTGTACGTTCACATTCAGGAATATATGGTAATATTACAATATACTGTACAGTATATATACGGGAGGAGGTGCTCATTCAGAAAGCAAGTAAGTCCCTTTCAAGCATTATCCTCAGCCAGATAATGGGCTGGAAGTGATGACAGAGACATGAGGACATTCCCTCCAATTGCTCACCTCAGAGGCTGAACACTGACATCCACTGGCCGCCCTTCCTCCCCTTCCCCTCCCTCCCTGATGTTGTGAATGATGCTGTTGTGGAGAACTGGCTGGTGTTAAGCGTCAACTCCACACTGCCTGAAGCTATCGCTTAATAATAATAAGTATTCGTTGACCTCTGACACACAGTGATTTGCTTCAGACTGAATACATGGTTGTGACTCCCTAAGCCCCAGACCAACAGCAAACAGCAGCAAATTGCCCCAACCAGGCCCAAAGAACCCACAGGAAACAATCTGTGCACTGACTTCAAGTGTAGCACAGTCACTTCAGAAAGTTACAAAACTGATCAATCATCACATCACCAGAGGAACCAATCAAACAAGAGGACACAGACAGCCTGGGATTCCCCACACACAAGCTGCTTCCTCAATTCAGCGACATTTCCAAATTGAGACACTTCTCTTCCCCTCTGACTTCCTTTACACTGCTTTCTCCTATCAGTGTCGTGTGACCAAAGCGGTCTCCAGCCTGAGCACATGGTTGGATCAACAGCTGCTCAGGTGGTAAAGTCCAGGTGAGAATCTGGGTCGATAATCTTCTGAACTCTGTATGTGATTACAGTAAGAGGGGCTGTGTTTAAGGCGTCTTTGCCATTATATGCGTCCATCACCTTTTCTCCCCCACTTTTAGCAGCTGGTCGACGTTGAGAATGGCTTCTGTGTGTAGAACAACGAGCCCACACAACACCACATCCTTCCTCACAGACCATCAGTACAAGGAACACGACAACCAGACATACGAAGATGCGATTGGGTGAGGGGAATACAATAAAGCTGAAATACATATTGTTGTTATAATTTGATAAGCAGAGTGCATCCCTCCAGAGAGGTCGTTCCATTCCAAACATGGGAATTTCCATATGTAGGTGGGACACATGGAACTCTCAGTCTGGTTCGGTCATAGGTTCAACACACACATCCGACGCCCGGTGACCAAAACATAACGGTGCCAAAAATGTAGAGTCGAGAGTGGAGTGGAGTGAAGTGGGGCTGTGGTGGGAAGTCTGCAGAGTGAGCAACACTGTTTGACAATTAATAATAGTGCCCCCCCCCCCCCATAAAATCACACGGCTGTTACATCACTGTACACTCGCACACATGTCAGGTCACCATCGTCACACTGATAGTGAGATGTCAGACATTCTCACACTGATAGTAAAATGAAGGAGTTTGCAGCATGTGAACCGCACTTTTACCTGGCACTTGGAGGCAGAGGACCGATGGGAGGACAATACTGAATTTTTAATTTTCAGGCAAGAAGATTACATGGTCCCATACCTCAGCAGCGATATATTCAAAACATCCAGCTCAGCTAAATGGGCCCAAGTTCCTGATATGCTGCAACATCTCAACCTAACACATTTTGTTTTGAGAGTTAAAAATCTCTCCCGTGGAATTAAAGACATTAAATTGTACATCGCAGCACACTCCCAGGCCTGAGATCCATCCCATGCTTCAGAATGACAGGAACACGGCAATGTACACCAGCTGAAAAGCTTGTTGCAACTTGTCAAGCTAACTCACATCACGTTTACCTGCTCTGATATCAATTCTTATTGATCACAAAATATCTTGAGAGATCCTGACATAGATTGGGCTGGGGAAGGGGAAAGGGATACATTTGGAATCGAAGGGTTGAAGTGGCTAAACAGCGGTTACCTTTTCCTTCGTGGTTGGCTGTGGAACACAGAAAACAGCCATAACAGCAGCAACAGCACAGCACAGCGAGCGGGATGAGAAGAACATAATTAATCAACAGAGTTCAAAGGTGACAAACACACACAACACATAGGCAGCAGTTACCAGTGAGAGCAGCGCCAGGAATGCACACAACGTAAAAGCAAGCAATGCAGAACTCCGGACAATGGAGTAGAGTGTAGAGCGGTGTAGCCCGGGCACCGGGGTAGGGCGGTGTAGCCCGGGCACCGGGGTAGGGCGGTGTAGCCCGGGCACCGGGGTAGGGCGGTGTAGCCCGGGCACCGGGGTAGGGCGGTGTAGCCCGGGCACCGGGGTAGGGCGGTGTAGCCCGGGCACCGGGGTAGGGCGGTGTAGCCCGGGCACCGGGGTAGGGCGGTGTAGCCCGGGCACCGGGGTAGGGCGGTGTAGCCCGGGCACCGGGGTAGGGCGGTGTAGCCCGGGCACCGGGGTAGGGCAGTGTGGGTGGTGTGGTCAAAGCACCTATGGCTTCACGCTGTACTATGTTAACTTTTACATATCCTTAAAATAAAATCAGAAGAAGTTTTCAAGCCACATTAGAAACTCTTTAACTGGTTTATGGAGGGTCTAAAATCACAAGATAATCATAACTTCCCTCACTGACTGGATCCCAGCACGTCTGTTCCTGCCAAACAGCCAAATCATCACAACGACTTCCCCATCGATTCAACAACAACTCACATTTATAATAGCACCTATCACACAGGTTAATGTTTCAGAGCACTTCATAGGGACGGTGTTGGATTCTGAGCAAGGGAAAAGGAGGTGACTGTAGGTGCAGTTTAAGAGCTAGGTGGGATTTAAAGACAGGTGTGGTAGGGGTGCGATGGAGAGGTAGAAGTTGCAGAGAGCAGGGATTTAGTTTCTGAGAGTCAGGTTTTATATGATAAGGAATCTAATTCACATACGTGGAAAGGGCCAATCAAGATTTGTGGGTTCTGTCAACAACAAACACATGAATTCCCGATTCTGTGTTGAATATTATTCGCCAGTTTGTGAAATCTAAATCAGTAACAGTCTCCGTCGCCCAAAGCTGTTACCTGGGCTTTCCAGTCATCGTTCCATCTGACTGGGCATTGCTGCCGACTTGGTGCATCTTGGATCGTTCTATGTGCTCCACATAAGTCTGTATCATCTGCAGGAGAACAACAAGCATTCACAGCAAATACATCCGACACAGACGAATGGCGACGGAAACGAACACCGAGACGGAAACCAGTATTGGTGAGACGCTTGTGTAAAGGCTGGGGCTTCAATACGAGGTCACGGCATCACCAGGTATAAAATAGGAATGAATGTAGCTCGGACTTTTCTCTCACCTCAGTGTGTCTCAGATGCAAGGCGTTGTATTCCTTCTTCATCTCAGCTTCCCGTTCCTCCAGTCTGGACACTGTAGTCAAGGAAAGAATCAATCAGATCTCTGAAGGCCTTTTTTAATGTCTCCAGCCTCGCCCTCAGCTTGATGCCACCCTCCAGCAAACAGGGTGCGTGAGCTGCCCCATGCCTGGTGCCTGACAAGCCTGCAGGTCATCCAGTCTCACAGAGTGGTGGGCAGATACCACAGCATCACCGCCTGCAACATTATTACTAAATGAAGCAGATAAAATTGGGGAACAGAGGTCACTGTCTCATATGATGTCTATAACCCATCCAAAGAACGCTGATATTTTAGGAAGGAGCAAAGGAAAACTGGGACAAGAGGTCATTAAGCACTCCGGAACACTAGCCCGCGTGAAGGGCACTATATAAATGCAAGTTGTTGTTGTTGAGCCCAACCGGCCACTTTATCCTTCCTAAGGTCGAGCGCCCAAACCTGAACCCAGTCTCTCACAGAGGTCTTATGGCCCTCTACATAACTGGGGAATCACCCCATGACATGTATTTCCCAGATCCCTTGAAATAAATGCCAGCATCACATTGTCTTATTGACTGTTTCTGTATCCGTGACTTAAGGGTTTAATGATCTGTGAACTTGAATCAGCAGATCTCTCTGCTCAGCTCCCCTCCCAATTCGATCATACTCCATTTTGACTTTCTCTGGTTGGTATGTGTCTTAGTGTAGAATATAGTAACTGCTTTTTTTAATAGTATAAAGCAGTCAAATCCTGTGAAGCTCCTTGAAACATTTTGGCTGTGTGTAATAAGACACCTCATAAAATACAAGTTACCGATTAGAACTGACGAGAGCTCAGGTTTCTGTGCTCGATTCCAGTAATTTGAAAAATTGAGTTACATTTCCTGTCCTTCAATCCTCAGGTACAATTCCCGAATACATTGAATTTTGGGGAAAAGCAGCCTTTCTCCTAATGTCTTTATAAAATGCTTCGCTTATTACCCCCGATACTTTTTTTTACACAATCTTTCACAATATTCTGTGCTGTGATATTCTATGATTCTATAATCCCTCTTAGCAAATACGATTGGTGAGAATTTTCTTGGTCTCATTTTGCTGCTCTCTCTTCCTCCTGGATTCCAGTCTCTCCCCCCGCCCTCAATCCCCCATCACATGAGACCCCGGTCACGACCAGGAAACAGAAACCCCTATCCCCCTATTAGTGATATCCTACAAGTCCGACCTCCTATTCCGTGGCACAGTGAGAGGGGAGGATTCAGCAATTTGGGGGAGTTGGTGGCTTGGTGGTGGAGGGGCTTTGCCTCTCTGGCCTGAGTTGCAGAAATAATGAAGCTCACTTTGGTCGGAGTAGTTCTTGGACTTGAGTTCCAGCTGCCTGCTCTGCAGCTCCAGAGACTCCACCTGAGTTTGCAGCTCCTTCTTCTCCTGCTCCAGCGCATCTTCAAACTCAATAAATTTCTAGACAGAAACAGAAGCACTGAAACAGCGAAACAACAAAACAGACAGATTATTCCTAACTATAATCAGTTTCCAATATTATTAGAATATTTTGCTTATAAAGATATTTATGATATATGTAAAATATAGAATAGATATATTTATATATTTATATTTGATAATACAGTACATAATACTGAATACATTGTATTACTGGCATGTTAAAGTAACATCCAGAGAGTTTATTTATACATTGCTTTTATGCTTTTGACTAAGCAAAGCAGACACGGTTTCTCTGGTGCCCAAGTAATCCAACAATCCTCACATACAAACTTGGGCATTCCCTTCATCATCATATTTCAATTGTTTGACCATGTTTAGTCACCTTTCACTCCCCGCTAGCTTGGGACCCAGCCCACTCCGTGAAGCACTTTGAGATGGCTGCCTTCTGTGAAAGGCGCTTTAGGGATCAATTGATTTCTCTTCTTTTCCTGATCACTAATGAATTCTGTAATAAACAGGTCACAGAAAGATTGCTATGTTTCCGTGATCGACACATGACAGATTGTACAGGGTGAACAAAAAGTCATGATAACCACCTATTATTTTTTAAAAATCGTAATTTCTTTAAGACTTATTAGACATTGTATTGGTATAACAAATTTTTGGTGACCCTATAATAACCACTGTGCAACTCGTTAACGCCACTATCCCACTTGCCACTACCGAACATTCCTGCTGTCAAGTCAAAACTTTGTTTCCCGCAACTGCCTCAAACAGAACATCGCATGTACACACCCTAAAGCTCTCCGCAGCCTCCCTCACAGGAATGCCTGTTCATGCGGAGAGCGAAGGGGACCCATCACCACATGCACACTTACCGGCCTTGAAGCAACATACACAGTGCTCCATGTGAGACAATCTCAGGAGCCTAAGTCCTGACCTGTCATGTGCAGTTACCAGCTGCAATGCCGAGGGTCCCCATGTGCACAGAACAATGCCAAAGTACTGAACAGTCAACAAGTATAGAAGACAAGGTTTTGACCGGCCATCATGGCATCAGGCAATGCAGATAGCCCAACTAAATGCAAATCAGTGACAAAGACCTATCAGGAGAAGTACCAGATCCTTCAATTTTTCAAGGCAAATCCTTAAATGAAAAAGAACATTTCCTCCAAATTTTGATTTGAAGCCACAGACTTTGAATGATTACTTCAAGAACAAGAAGAAAATGTATCATGCCAGTACTGGATAGTACTGTATATGGAATGAGTGGGCTACCATAGCTTATGCATAACTTTATATCAGTCATATATCATATAACTTATGCAAGTTTCACATAACTCACACTTTGCATAAGTTACATTAAACTTGATACAACTTGTGTGAGGTTTACTGTACGAGGGGAAAGACAGATGGAAAAACTAAAGGAAATATTCAGGAAGCGATTCCACAAGGACTGATTGCATCGGCATGGTAGAAACCCAATCCAGCCTCTCTTATTTTTCTATTAAAGGTTTTGTAGAAGATGCTCTGGAATTATGTAGGTGTATTTTTAAGTCTTTCAGTATTGCTCACACTATAAATTCCTGCTTCTTGTTTTTGGCAGAGATGCTATTGCAGATATTGGATATGGTTATTCCAAAGATGTTAATGGAGTCTTTCTTCCCAAGGAAAAATGAATATTTTATGTGACACTGCTACCATCCCCCACATACCCTCCCAGCTCTCAGAAGGCAATTACATCATCTGCGCATCACCCAAACCATCACTCCGCTAACATGGTTACATCTCCAGGGATGACATACAGTGAAGAGGCTGAATGACAATTATTCCCTTCAATCAACCCACAAAAGGAATCGTTTTCTACTGTTAAAACACAGCCTCCACTGTGTAACACACTTGAACAGCAAAACATGTACTTTAACTCTTTAATGCACTAATATGCTGGTGTCCACTCAGAAGCATTGCTGAGAAGCTAAATCATTAACGATTTCATAAAAACCTATTCAAAATAGGAGGAGGACACAAAGGCATGAAATCGGGCTGTGACCAAGTGGGAAGTGAGAGAGGTTGGGGGAACCTCCTCTCCCAGAGGGTTGTCAGGCCCAGAGCGATTTGCTGGGGCGACTGATAGAACAGAGTTGACTGGGCTATTTAAAGAGAATTAAACTTATACAGAGGAAGGCGATTAGAGGGGACGGGGAGCGAGCGGAGGCTGGGGTAATAATGGATGGCTTCTTGGAGGAACAAACACTGACATGAAAAACTGAGAAAAATGGCTGCTGTCTGGGTCGCAGATTTATAACAAAACACTAAGGCCCCGGCTACAACAACAACAACAAGATTCCATTTATTGAGCGCCTTTCACGTCGGGAGGACGTCCCAAGGCGCGGGACTTATGGGGGGGATCCGGTCCGGTGAGCCGGAATTTCGGGTTAAGTGTAATTACAACGCCGGTACCAGATAGTGAATAAGCTAACTTCTGCTCGTGGAATTCAAACTGTGTCAAGTGGATATTCCCAGTCACCGAAGGCAGTGAGCACGGGATCATCCTCGTAAATCTCTAACCCCTTCTACCACCTTGACGTCTTTCCTAAAGTGCGGTCACCAACGCTGAAGACAATATTCCAACTGCATTGTAACTAACGATTAATGTAAGTTTAGCATTACCTCTTTGCTTTTATCGTCCACACACCCTAGTTTTTGATGTTGTGACCACAAAGTGTTGAGAAGAGGTGCAGGAGTGAAACTCAAACACTGCGACAGCTGATTGTTATAAAATAGTGACAATGATACATGAAATTATTATAAACTGATTATTATACACTGATTATTATAAAAGGAAATTACAACATTGAGGCCTGGACCAGTTAACCGGCAACATGTATAGGTCCTTGTCAAACTCATCTCCCTGTCACAGAGCGGATCAACTTCAAGATCCTCACTCTTGTATTTAAATCCCTTCACGCCCTGCCATTCCCCCATCTTTCCAATCCGCGCTCTCCCTACACCACTACCCGCTACCTCCGCTCAACCGGCTCTGGCCTCCTCCTCCTCCACCCCACCATCGGCGGCCGTGCTTACAGCCACTATGCCCCAAAGCTGTGGAACTCTCTCTCTCAATCCCTTCACCAAGTCCCTCTCCCCATCATCAGGAAGCTTGACGACCTTCCCTTCGACCGGATCACCTTCTCCTTCCCCGTGGCTTGGCATCGGGCTCTGCCACTATTAAGCAATCCAAGCCGCCGCCTGGTGTGAAGGACGCTATATAAATGCAAGTTACAAATATGCTACTGTTGTATTCAAACAGTTGATTGTATTGTACTTTGCAATCTGTTCTAGAAGAGATTCTATGTCTTTGTGAACAACTTCCAGTCCCACCTGCAAACTTCATTACTGGACAACCTTTCTGATGATCTAGTCTGATAGCCTTCTATAAAAAGCTTTATTCATTCACTGATAACAGAGGGGTATTCTGCTAACATGACTAACCAATTTGATTACTTGGCAATAATTTGTTAATCATGCTATTTTGAACCTATCAGCATTTTCCAGACGAATGCGCCAGTCGTATGCTCAGGAGCAAACTCCGTACTTGGCTTCTCTCAAGCCCTCTTTTGGCTGCTGTAAAGGTTCTGGTAACTGGGAGAATGTTTAGCACCCACGGAGTATATGCCATCATCACGTCATCAACAACAACAACAACAAGATTCCATTTATAAAGCGCCTTTCACGTCAGGAGGACGTCATACACAAGGGGCAAAACTAATGGCATATAATAACAATAATCCTTGCATTTGATATAGCGCCTTATCACATCTTCGAGACGTCTCAAAGCACTTCACACAATATACTGTCAAGTGAACTGACTGCGTATGTTGTGAGCGAAACGGGGAGGCTAATTGCATCACTAGTTCACGGTGAGGACAGCCATCAGATCTGGTGGCTGGATGTGGAGCTGGCATTACACGTTGGCCAGCGACTGGCTGGAGCCTTGGCTTAAATCCAGTCCTCGTACTGGATTGCAGCCACTTCGCACTGTACCTCTAACCTCCATCATTAGATTTTTTTTAAAAAAAGAATTGCAATCAACTGATGATAATAAGCAGGTCCATCACAATTTTCATTTTACCGATTATTTAATGTTCTTACCTAGAATAAAATCACATTACACCATCCGTGCAGCCCGATGGAGAAAGGCATCACTCAAGTAGCCAGAGCCATTCAGCTGCAGGTCTGATTCCAATTCATATACAAGTGCAATTTGTTGTAGTACTGAGCTTGCTGATCTATGCTGGGGTAAGCAGAGGGTAGGGGAGCTTCTCCTCCACAATGTCTATCTAATCATCCCTTAATAATACAAATATGAGGTGGGTATCAGGTGAGGATATCCCAAATTCAGACATCAAGTCCTGGGTGAGCTCTAACTTTCTCCAGTTGAATATAAACAAAACTGAAGCTCTGCTCCCGTCAGCAACTTCTCATCTCAGTCACTAACCACATCGATCTGAAACGATACTCATTCCACTTCATGGAGCCGGTGCAAAATCTCAGTATCTATTTTTTGACACCCAAATGTCTTTCAAGCCCTACATCCAGGCTCTCATTCCCTCACTCCTCTGCAATATTGTCCACCTCCGCTCCCTGGGCTGCCAAGACTCTCATTTGCTCCTTCATCACGTCCAGTCTTGACTATTCCAGTGCCTTACTCCAGAAATCTGCAGCTCCAGCACCAAGCTCCCTGAGCCTTTCACTCCATCCTTGCTCGGCTCGCTCCCCATCCCCCAGAGGATCGAGATCAAAATGCTCATCCTTGCGCTCAAATCCCTCCATGGTTTCGCCCCTCCTAACCTCTATGACCTCCTGCAACCCTACCGACTCGGCCACACTCTGCCATCCTGGAGTTGTCTCTCCCCTCCCCACTTTCAAGCCGCCTTTGACCGTGCTTTTGTTCATCCTTTCCCCCATCCCCGATTCCAGCTGTGTAAAAGCACTTTGAAACATCCTCACGACATGAAAGGTGCTATATTAAAGTAACTTTATTGTATTGGAGTGGGCTGTAGTCAGTATGGCTCCTTATTTAGTCCATTTGGCTCTGTTTCATCCACAAAGTAAAATCAATCCTGTGCAGCACTTTGAGACGTCTCAATGACGTGATGAGGCGCTATATCAAATGGAAGGATTATGATTAGATTATTATTATAGCTATTTAGACTGTTCAAGTTCTTTCTTTTAAAAAACATCCTCTCCTGAGGCAATGACGTACAATCCACACAGCCCTCTGGAACCTTGTCTGTGGCATGGTTCACGTGAGCCAAAGGGAGTGAGTGTTGCTGCTATCCGATCACAGACACACTGACAACTGTACTCCCTGGGTGGGTCAGGTCTGCACCAGTGTACTGATCACACAGCTATACCTTATTTATACCTTCTGATGGTTTGGCTCTGTGTTCTTCAAGATGAGTGACATCAATACCAGTTTCTACGTTGACCCTCATTGTAAGACCCAAAACCACGCCCAGTCAGGTACAACACAGCTATTTTACTGAAGGTCTACATTCTTCCAAATCATCCAGCATATTCAATATGTTCCATTCCCCCCGTTTCAAACTGGATCGATTAATTCATTAGGAATGAGTTAATCTCGACATTAAATGGATATATATCACCACATATAAAGCCCAAATATTGTGCTATTAGATTGACTACTGTAAGGTATCGAGTTTCACAAGCTTCCAGGCCGCGAGGGGTAGAATATATTTAATAAGGTTTCTTACAGATGTGTTTACATTCCTGAATTGTCACATACTCTGATTCTGAACGGCTGAAGAATGTTCAATAAGGCTGTTTGCTGACGGTCTCTACAGCACTGAGCAGCGTACTCGGACTGATCACAACCACAGGCCGATGCCCTGCCAGTATCCAAATGGCTGAAATGTACTCAATACGTTACCGAAGACCCCCGTTCTTTTCCGTTACAGACAACCACACGAGGTGAGCTAGTCTTGCATGAGCTAACCCTGCCTTTTTTTTCCTGCCATGTTGCTGAATGCGGTCTCGTTCGTCTCGACTGACACATCAATAGCCGGACGTCAAGACCAGAGCAGAAATCTGAGATCAGGGGCTGACAACACCGGCGCTGCAGTCCCGGCCGCAGCGCAACGTAGCAGACGCAGACCAGACAGCGCAACACTCAACAGACAGGACTGTCAACATCTACGGGTGGACCCACATCAATTCGATTCAGAACACGGCTGTTGGGATCCATTAATCCGCTTCTCTGACACTGACCCCAAATTGCTAAATGGCAGGAATTACTCCCGATATCTATGGCCCCCGCGGCGGAGCGCGTCCGCCTTCCTTTACAGTCGGGTTCTGGTTCATACATTTTTTTTTCCCGGATTTGGTTCATTTGACAACAACAATAAAAAAAAATCCCAGAGAGTCACAGACATGAGGCCGGACTGACACTGAAGGCTCTCTCAGATACAGACAGGGACTTCAACACACAATCTGCATATATATATATACACATATATACACTATATATATAAACACTCACACAGATATATATACATACACACACACATACACACACAAACACATACTCATATATATATATACGCACAAACACAATAGATATACGCACATATACACACACACACACACACACACAGAGATATACACATTTCTATGGAGCGTTGGACGATTATATCCCCAAATGGAAATTGTAATCGTGAAATAATTTTTTTTCCCAAAATAACGACAAGTGTTTTCGATGCAGAGCGGCGGTTGGGGCGGGAGAGGCTGCGGGCGGGCGGGCGGGGCGGGCGGGCGGGCGGTGGGGCGGGCGGGCGGGCGGTTGGGGGCGGGCGGGCGGGCGGTTGGGGCGGGCGGGCGGGCGGGCTGACTGACTGGCGATGGCGCTCACCTCCTCGGCCTGTTTGCGCAGCGCCTTCTCGCGCTCGTACTGGGTCAGCAGCTGCTCGTTGTCCTCGCGCAGCAGCTCCAGCTCCACCTCGTGCTCCTGGTTCTCCGTGAACACCGACTCCAGGTTCTCCAACACGTTCACCACCAGCGGCATCAGCTCCTTCACCACCTCCTCGTCGTACTTGTGAATCAGCCGCTCGAACTCGCCGTAGATGCTGTTGGCGAGGCCCGACACCCGGTCCGACATGACAGACACCGAGCAGTCATCCTGGTACACGGCGCCGTCATCCAGATCCATCATCGCCGCCGCAGCGCCAGCCCGAGCCGGGCTGCTGCCGCCGCCGCCGCGGGAGACCAGGGGGCCCGGGCAACCGCCTGCCTGCTGCCGCGGGAGGACTGGCGGGAGGTCAGGCTGCCGCCGTCGCGGGAGACCGGGGTAAGCCTGAGGCCGGGCTGCCGGGGCCGAGCTGCTGCTGAGGCCGCGCTGCCGGTGGCTGGTTTGGTGCTGAGGCTGGCGCTGTGGGCGGGGCTGGCGCTGTGGGCGGGGCTGGGGCTGGCGCTGTGGGCGGGGCTGAGGCTGGCGCTGTGGGCGGGGCTGGCGCTGTGGGCGGGGCTGGCGCTGTGGGCGGGGCTGAGGCTGGCGCTGTGGGCGGGGCTGAGGCTGGCGCTGTGGGCGGGGCTGAGGCTGGCGCGGTGGGCGGGGCTGAGGCTGGCGCGGGGGGCGCGGCTGAGGCTGGCGCGGGGGGCGGGGCTGAAGCTGGCGCGGGGGGCGGGGCTGGGGCTGGCGCGGGGGGCGGGGCTGGGGGCGGGGCTGAGGCTGGGGGGGGCGGGGCTGAGACGGGGGCGGGGCTCACTGCGAGGCCTCCCTGCCTCACCTGACGTCAGTGCTGGTCTGCATTGTGCTCCCGCTCCCAGCTCCTCCCCCCACATACACACAGCCCCTCCCCCACACAGCCCCTCCCCCACATACACACAGCCCCTCCCCCACACAGCCCCTCCCCCACATACACACAGCCCCTCCCCCACACAGCCCTCCCCCACATACACACAGCCCCTCCCCCACATACACACAGCCCCTCCCCCACACAGCCCCTCCCCACATACACACAGCCCCTCCCTCACACAGCCCCTCCCACACACAGCCCCTCCCACACAGCCCCGCCCACACACAGCCCCTCCCCCACATACAACAGCCCCTCCCCCACATACACACAGCCCTCCCCCACATACACACAGCCCCTTCCCCACACAGCCCCTCCCCCACACAGCCCCTCCCCCACACAGCCCCCTCCCCCCACATACACAGCCCCTCCCCCACATCCCACAGCCCCTCCCCCACATACACAGCCCTCTCCCCACAAACACACAGCCCCTCCCCCACACAGCTCCCACCCCCCCCACATACACACAACCCCTCCCTTCCACACACACACAGCCCCTCCCACACACACAAACAGCCCCTCCCCCCACACACAGCCTCTCCCCCACATACACACAACCCCTGCCCCCCCACACACAAGCCCTCCCCACACACAGCCCCCAACCCCCATACATACCCCTCTCCCCACACAGCCTCTCCCCCAAACACAGCCACTCTTCCCCACAAACACACAACCCCTCCCCTCCACCCCCCACATACACACCCCTCCCCCAGCACAGTCCCCACCCCCCACATACACAGACCCACCCCCCATACACACAGCCCCCCCCCCACATACACACAACCCCTCCCCCCCCCCCCCCCCACATACACAACCCTCCCCCATACACACAGCCCCCTCCCCCACATACACAGCTCCTCGCCAGTCTTCCCAACTCCACCATCCACGAAATCCGGCAGTTCCAAAACTCCACCGCCCGCATACTCATCCGTATTAAACTCACCGATCACAGCAGTGCTATCCTGGCTCTGTTGGCTCCCTAACGCTGAATGAATCGATTTCAAGATCCTCTCACTTCAAATCCCTTCATGCCCTGGCACTCCCCTACCTCTCCGACCTGCTTACTACCCTGCTTTACCCGCTGCCTCCACTCGACCTGCTCCAGCCTCTTGCTTGTCCCTTGTGGCCTCCATTTCACTCAGCGACTGCCCTCCGAAACTCTGGAACACTTCCCTTATCCGTCCACCTTGCCCCTTCCTTCTCCATCTTCAAATCATACCTGAAGACCTTCCTCTTCGACAGGGCCTACGCCACTGTCAAGCGCTCTGGGATGCTACTCTGCGTGAGGGGCGCAATGCTGTATAAATGCAAGATGTTGTCAGCAGGAAGTTTGTTTTTTGATTTTTGAGCAAACGCTGGGCTCAGCTGCAACTTACGGAGTTTTCTTTAAAAATAAAAATGATCAAATCACAAATTGAAAGCACCAACTGTATTCCCATCACTGTCGCCAAAAATTGATACATCTAACATATCCAGAGCTACCCTGAAATTTATTTATTTCAGTTTTCAGATGGGGAAGGGGAGGAGGACGATCGCCACTTTTCCCTGAACAATCCTGAATTGGCCTGATTCAGTGCTGAAAATCAGGTGAAATATAGATGATCAAAAAAATCTGATCATCGCTAAGTTTGATATTCCTGATGGTAAAGAACAATTATTCTTGTTACCGTCTGATTTTTAAACATCTTTTTTGCAAATACTCATTTTCACTACCGTTTGATTTAATTAAGTTGGTAACAAATTTCTTATGCAATTACACGACCATTTTTGAAAAAATTATTTTTTTTAATGTGTATTGATGAAATTGGTCATTTCTGTTCTTGATATAGTTTTTGCTGCGATTAAATGAGGGATCATTTGTTGAAGTAACTGGGTGGATTACATGGAAACTAATATCTGGTACCAGATTGAGAAGTTACTATTAAAAAGATAATCCACCAGAATAGAGTTTGAGAATTCTATTATCTGAACTTTCAAATATAATGTTCACAGAGCACGCAATCTCACGATGGATAACACAGACTAAATCTATTTGGAAAGAGCAGGCACAGTATTTTATATTAGAATCTTTCAATAATATCTCATGGGAAGCCCACATATTGACAGATGGCTACAACCAAAACTGTTCTTCCTTTATGACTTGCTTCCTTCCCTCTGCATTTTCTGAGCAACAGCATAATTACAATAGAGGATGCATTAAAATCACAGTTTAATTTATTTAATCCAAGCAATTTTATTGGAAAGCAGGAGAAAATAAAGTACAGTATATGGAAATTAGTTCTTATATAATTTTGAACATTTGATGCTCAAATGGAACAATTTCCCTTCACCTGGCTGATTGTTCAGCCTGGCTCCATCGGTAGCACTCTCACCTCTGTGTCAGAAAGTTATGGGTTCAAGCCCCACATCAGAACTTGAACTTCTATTTACTAAGATGACACTCCAATGCAGTGCTGGGGGAGCGCTGCATTGTTGGAGGTACCATCCTTTGGATATGACGTTAAACCAAGATCCCATCTGCCTTTTCAGTTGGATGTTCATGGCACTATTCGAAAAGTGAAGGGAATTTCTTCTGATGTCCTGGCCAAACAAAATTGGGGTCACTCATTTCCTGGTTGTTTGTGGGACATTGCTGTGCAGTCTCGTTGGCTCACAAATAGTCATTGCACTTCACCGTAAATCCTGTGAAGTACTTTCGCAATCCTCCCAATGTGAAAGGCGCTGTACCAAATACAAGGATTATTATTAACCAGTGAGGATCAAGCACTTCTTCAGTCATGTACAGATCATATGCAAATTGAGGCTCCCTCTGACCTCCAACAATGTGTCTTAATCCCAAATTACAAAAGCATTCCCTATGAGTCCAGTACGATGTGTCATTTCGTTCTTCAGACATTTCCATGGCCTCTGTGAGCAAGAAAATTAATGCTGAATTTGGGGAGTTGTGTAATGCACATGTTAAATCTGCTGACACTTCATTTGAGAGTTTTATAGCTACTGAAAAGAGGAGACACTATCAGTTTAATTTGATTTGGAGCAAATGAGTTCACTCAATCGCTGAACCTATTTCCTCTTTTTTTTAGTTTCTCCACTTTGCCAGTCCGACAGCTCTCATGCACCATTTGTTTTCTCATCCAATTCTCAGACCAATCGCATCAGTGGTTGCTTCACCTGATGTGTGAAGCCAAGATGTATTGACACTCTCCCACACCAGGCTCCGTCACCCTATCACCCTCAACCTCACCCAGGTCTACTGGTTCCCCATCCTCAGAGGATAGAATTCAAAACCCTCATCCTCACCTTCAAAGCTCTCCACGGCATTGCTCCTCCGTACCTCTGTGACCTGCTAACTCCGTATCAACCTTTCCGCTCATCAGACTCCGTCCTGCCCCATGTACCCTGCCCACCCCACCTTCGGCGGTCATGCCTTCAGCCTCTCTGCCCCCACCCTTTGGAACTCATCCCAGTCCCTTCGCCTTGCCCCCTCCCTTGCCTCCTTCAAGGCCTGTCTCAAGACCCTCCTTTTTGACAGCCCTTCGGTCATTCTCCTACCCCTATCCTCCTTGCCCTCTACCCCTCCTGATCCCAACAACAACAAAATTGCATTTGTATAGCCCCTACTTAGGTCCAAATCCCTGATTGTCCAGAGCCTTAGGACATTCTCCTGATGTGAAAGGCTCCAGACAAATGTAATTTTTTGTTGTTAAGAACTAAGACACTTTATCCTGATCCCTGGGAATATGAAGACTACTTGGGGGCAACAATGGACAAAACAAGTCTGTGCCGGCTCTTTGGAAGAGCTATCTAATCAGTCCCACTACTCCGCTCTATCCCCATATTCTTGCAAATTTTTCCTCAAGTACCTATCCAATTCCCTTTTGAAAGTTGTTATTGAATCTATTTCCACCATCCTTTCACACATAACCCTTTAAATCGTAACAACTCTGTAAAAAAAATGAGAAGAGGTGTATTGTTTTTAAAATTTAAGATTTCAATAACCAATAAACTTAAGATTTCAGCTGTAGCACCTCTTTATTGCCAGAATAAGAACTAGCCTTACCTGAAGCTGTTGTAATAACATGACCAACTGTCAAACTTTTGTCTTGGAGAGGTAGGCTCCGGGGTGCAAGCTATGCTCATCAATCCCACTGCTTTACAAATCTTGCAAAATCAGAGTCCAAGAGGAAATGCTTTACTTTCGCTTCTGAAACCTGGTAAAACACTAGAATACATTCAATACTGAACAGATACAAGCTTCCAAGTAAGCTTTTGAACTGACAATCTTCTGATTCAGTGAGTGCGCTCCCAACTGAGCCAAGATGACACACTTATATGCAACCATTGAAGGTGGATGACCAATAATGCAGTCAAGCTTTGATAACTGAGTCCAACTACTGACAACATCTATCCAGTGGTGATTGTTCATCTTTCGAGTAACCTAACCTAAAGACACTGCTGAAACAAGTACATTGTCCTGAAGAACCCTGTTGCGATAGCTGCCTCATTTATCATGACTCAGCGTTTGCATCTGCTAAAGAGGCAGCTCATCTCGTTCTGCAATTAACATCGGAGGTTAGATGTCAGCTCATTGTAAGAAAGATCCCAGAAGCCTATTGCAGGTTCTAGAAACAGGAATTTCTACTGTAGTTTTCTGAAATAATTAATCCACTTATGCACCATAAAATTCAGTTCAACAGAAGTCATCCAACTTGTCTTCAAGCTAAATTGGGAATTAGACAGCAAGTCTGCCCAATTGGAATGTTCAATTGTGCAACTTTTCATTTGCAAATTACAGCATTTCTAAAAAAGATATTGGGTATACCGCCTGGATCCAAATGCTTCACAGATAATTGCTTCTAAGTGTAGCTACTGCATATTTTAGGCAAATAGTCTTATAATCATGGCAAGAGCATAACTGTAATTACTTTTGAAAAAAAGTCCAAACTGCATTTTCAGATTTATGGAACTTCTGAACAAATCCAAAAAATTGCAATTAAGCATTTGCAATATCAATAGAATGCCACATATGTCAGCTTTATTCAAGGGTCTATAAACCTGAGACTCTGCCATCAACTTCTTTGACCATTCTGGAATGATTTATCTACAAGCCCCAAACTATCGTGGTTTTGTTGGTTTTAAAGCTATTACGACCCCCATATTCAGCTTGTTTCAGCACCAAGACGGCCACCAAAAGTAAGCAATTATCAAGATTAATGGCTTATTCATGTTGTACAGCTCGGACTCGAAACATTGATTATCCAGCACCTTGGGACATCCTCTCGACGTGAAAGGCGCTATACAAATGTAATTTTGTTGTTGTAAGTTAGTCACAAATTAAATTTACTACTATAATTACATTCCCAGATTTTCTCCCCTCCCCATGTTTCACATTTAGGATTACTCAAGAGTTTGTCCAATACTAAATTTCAAAAGCAGTGGTGCAATTAAAACTTTATGTCTATGTAGTGGAAGCCGTTTTAACCGGACAGCAGTTAACCTCGGATGCCGGGTAAATCAAACAAAATGTCCAGCCCAAAATCATTTGTATTCTTACCTATTTTAAATATGGTGGTTGATTCGGCCAAAAATCTAGTTAATCCAGGCAAAATGCCGCGCTGTTCGCTGCTGAATGTACTCACTCAGGCCTTTTGTGTGTCGAGCGGCTTCATTCAGTCAAGAAAGGCTCCGGAATGGAGATGGCCGCAGCTTAAGATTGATTGGCAGCGGACTCTAGCCATTCATAAGAGGCTGAAGTTGGGCTGTCAATCAGTGAGAAACGGGGAAGAAACAAGGGAGGGAATGAGAGGAGTCAAATCACGATTGATTGACAGTTGAGCCAATTGACATGGCTGGAGCTCATCCATTCACAGGCTACAGGAGATCGAACAGCTCTGCATCATCGCTAATGGTCTCCTTCCCGGAAGCGAAGTGTGCCAAAGAATTGTAATATTGTTGTCCTGTGGTTATCTGGTCACAGTGGTTTTCACAGTTGATTAATGGATTGCTTTCTTGATTTTGTAGCAACAAAAACTATAACAAGCATATTCACCAATTACTACATATAAGACCAACTTTATTCGGATTCATCCAAAATACAAAGAAAACATCTGTATGCTGAAAATAAAACGCAATGGAAAAACAAAGCAATTTGTTGTACTCAGGTAACTTCACATAGCTCCTTATCCCCCCCCTTCCCACATTTTTATTACAGCGAAATGTAGCAAGATTGTGCAGAATAGAGTAAAACAGTGTGTTGTAAGAACATGTACATGTGTGTGTATGGAACGTTATTTACATTAAATTATTGTCATGAGGTTAGCAGGTTCCTCCCGTTTGCTGCTGGAATACATCAATGGTGTCTTCATCTTCCATTTCCAACTGCAAAAATAACCAAAAGGCCAGTCACTGCCTTGCCACACAAACTCGCTGAAGCTGACGATGCACAAAGAAACAAAACTACTCTCACCTCAATACAAAGTCTTGCACACATCTAGCAACCTACTTTTGCTCAGTGCACCAAAACATAAGGTTAAGGGTGATAAAATTTGAAGCAAAACACATTGATGTATTGAAGAGATGATTTTTGCACGTGTGTGAAAGAAGGCCTGTGTAAACATTAGCAAGGCTAGTTTGGCTGAATGGCTTATTTCCATGCATTATCATTCTGTGTAACCAGCAAAATACAGTCACTCCACTTTACAGTATATTATGTGAAGCGCTTTCAGACATCTCAATGACATATCAAATGCAAGGATTATAGTAATAATTATTATTATTATATTATTATAATAACCTAGCCTACCAAAGTTAAACTCCCGAACCAAAGAATGACACTTCTAATAAATACCCACATAGGAGATAACGAATCACAGAAGGATCTAAACTTCTCCAAACTGCTTCCACATTAAGCACACATTCTTACCTCCTGGTATCAACAAGCATCTAAACTGACAAGTCCATGGTATTCATAGATTACATTTTATATAATATATATTAGCTACAGGCTGACCTCAGTGTTACATTCCCTGTTTTTTACGATTCCTTGATAAGTTATAATGAATAAAAGTGAGACCCATTTTTTCCCTATTGATTCTTACGGCGATACAGTGAACAATGAAGCAGCGCAATCCCTGATATAACAAACACAAACTACAAGCCAGGCTTGGGATTATCCTTCGGAGCAGCTTTTGATTGGCTTTGATTTTCATTTTGAATCGCCTCACCCTCAGTTGGCCCTTTGGCCTAAGCATCTGATTGGACGGTGAGTATGCCAGCATCTTATTAGCGCGCCTGAGGGGCTCGCACTCACATGCAGGCCTGGTGGGGCCTGTGGACTGCTGGCCAGTTATCACGGCCAAACCGTACTATCGTGAACACCCTGATATAACAATCTTTTCTGCCGGTCCCAAGGGGTTTTGTTATAGTGAGATTTGACTGTATATAAATTTATCTCCATTCCTCAGAGGGAAGGAGTCTCACCATTGATTGGTTTAGAATATTTGCAAACAAATAACTAACTCGACATCTTTTCTTTTTCAGTCCATAATAATTTAAATGCTGGGGGGTTTGCAGTCAGAGGTACCATCCTTCAGATGAAACATTCAATTGAGGTCCAATCTACCTGTTCAAGTGGGTGCTGAACATCCCATGGCACTATTTGAAAAGAGGAGTTTCCCCCAGTGTCTTCTGAATGAAGCCCACCACATGCTCCCTTGACCCCATCCAGCTCCACTGCCGATGAGCCAGCCTGACTGTGCCGTCATCAGGAATACTGCGGACTGCATAGCTCAGGAACCAGACTACCGAGACAGCCACAGAAGCCCGGCTTGATTCCGACATTCCGTTGCCAGTTCTGTCAGTTGGTGCCAGTTCAGCTCTTGGGAGACCCCACTGACCTAACACTTTACTGTATATCCTGTGAAGCGCTTTGAGAAGTCTCAACGACGTGATAAGGCGCTATATCAAATGCAAGGATTATTATCCTGTCAGAAAGGCCTGGAACAGATACACTAAGTCCTTCCCCCTCGATGTTATCCAACACGTCGTTGATAAACACATCAAACAGGGTAGATGACAAAGGGCAGCCTTGTCTTAATCCCCTTTACAGAGGGATGGGCATAGTAAGTCCATTGTCAACCCTTACATGGATCTTGGGAATTGGTATACACATTCTGAATAAAATCCAGGATTCGGCCATGTCCTCCCATGGCTTCCAGTTTCATCATGAGGGCCTCATGAGGCGCCGGGTTGAAAGCTTTGCGAAAGTCGATGAAGGCAATGTAGATGGGTTTCCACTTAGCCGTACCACGTTCCACGATCTCATACAGAGCCACAACCTGTCCCACACATTCCTCACGAGAATGGAAGCCAGCCTGCTCCTTCCTGATCACACCAGGAGCCTCCAATGTGTGCGATACACGAGATCCCAGTGAAATCAATGAGATCCCTCTTTAGGTATTGGTCTCATTAGGGTCAACTTTCTTGTGTATAAACACCGCAATTGTACTCGGGTGCATGCCTTAGAGAGAATCCTGTTGACCAGCGCTAAGAGGGCAGCTCCAAGGTGAGTTGGGGGTTCCTGGCTTGGACCTGTAAGATCCTCACTGCTCTCCATCTCCTTCCTCAGTGCAGCTTTCAGGAACTCAGCACTTGCAGAGTGGATCATTAAAGCAGAGTGGATCATTAAAGTCTTCAATCTGGCCCATGTTTCCCGCCAGCTCTTCCAGCCTCCATGCAGATGGGTCTCTGTTACATCCTGTTAGGTCAGACGCCAACTCTGTGTAATGTTCCCTCGAGACCCCAAGGCTACCCTCATGAATACCGGACTTGTCCAATACTGGTACGGGTCCAGAGGGGGCCCTCCAGTCATGTTCGACAGACTTCAGGAAGTGGAAGAAAGATTTGGGATTATCCTTGTGCAATTGCGCCCCCTTTCGGAGTGATGCAGCCCAATGAACCCGCTTCATTCCTCTGATGGCTTTCCTAGCTTTGTGCAGTGCTTGATCGTACGTTGGATAGAATTTTATTAGGTAAGGGTATCAAGGGATATGAGGCAAAGGCGAGTAATTGGAATTGAGGTATAGATCAGCCATGATCTTACAGAATGGCAGAACAGGCTTGAGGGGCTGAATGGCCTACTTATATTTCTATATACAGGAGAAGACAGAGAAACAGATACAGAGACATACCACACACAGATAGATACAGAGACACATGCTGACAAAGACATAAACAGATACAGAGAGAGAGAGAGAAAACAAGCACAGATATATTGTCGCTGGCTATATTATTGTCTTAAAATGTGCTTACATGTTTACATTGTCAATTTAAAGTTTTCATTGAAACTAAAATATCCTGAAATTAAGTAATAAAGTTGCACAATTTAAAACATAGGATTTCTATAGGATTCCTGCAGGTTATATTTCTGTAATGGAAACACACAAATATTGCTTATACAGCGTGTGAACAATTCTCAAATCTGGCACCTGACCTCCAGCAGCCACTGCCTTAGAGCATAACGATTTACCTATTTTACCACTGGTGCACAGAGAATGTTCAGTGCACGCCTAACTAATTGCTAGAATTATTTTGCATTGTTCAGTAGAAGAATGTAGTTTGATAACATTCCTTTGAACCTACTCACCATGGCTGGCGTATCAGTTTCATTTATTGGCTGTCCATCAAATCGAAAGCGGATCTGTCTGATCTGCAAGCCCTGTCAGGGCAAAAAGAGGAAAGTTATCTTCAATACAGTTAAGAAACAAAACTAGAATGCTGACCACAAAGATTGCACCAGGAAACTGGATAACCTGATGCTTACAGAGAATACCATAGGTACCAACTCTGCTTGCCGGATTTCCAAACTCTTCCCTCCATAAGCTGCAAACTATCCAAAACTCTGCACCCCGTGACGTCTCCTGTACTCGGCTCCGCAAATCTATCACCACCATCCTCGCCCGGCTCCACTGGCTCCCCATCCCCCAGAGGATAGAGTTCAAGATCATCATCCTCACTTTTAAATCCTTCCACGGTTTTACCGCATCTGCATCTTTCTAAAACCTTCCTCTTTGGCCGTGCCTTCAGCCAAACTCCCACCCCCCCTACCTTCCAACCCCCAACTCTGGTGTAAACCCTTAACTGTCTTGGGACATACTTCTGACATGAAAGGCACTACATAAAAGTTAATTTCTTGTTGATAAAGCCAGCACTGCAGTTTCACAAATCCAGGCTATTACAAATGCTGACTGCCCATCAATGACAAAACAATAGTTTTATGAAGTACTTTTATTTATGTTTTAGCACCAGACTCAGATGACTAGGTGGAGACAAGATTCTAATATTATATGGGTTTAGATGAGCACAAGACAGAAGTAAACAGCCTTTGAAGAACTTGCACTAGGATCTCCTCCTAGACAGTCATATCATGAGAGCAACTTATGAGAAACATCAAGTCGCACAATTCCATCCAGTAGTGAATAAAGGAATCATACTTTTGATTTAACCTGGAGCCAAGATTTGGGACCCCAGTGTTATAAGATGGTACTGCTGGAGTCCAACCAGCTAAAACTGTATAACTTGCCACTGAGAGCAGAGTCTGGCAAGCTTTCCCACTGCTTGTCCAACTTGTACCACCCAACCAGTTAGGGCTTTGGTTTACAGGGTTAACAGGAGTGGAAAAAATTCCTGGCCCGTGACTCGTCTATCCCTCCAAGTCCTACTGATGAGCCAGTGCTGCCTGTGCTGCATCATCAGTGCCTTGGAGTACTTCAGATCCATTGAGCTCAGGGACTGGACTAACAAGACCACCACAGAGGTTGGACTCAATTCCAACATTCCACTGCCAAGCAGGTCACCTTAGAATTAATTCAGCTCCAAGGGGATCCCGCTTACCTCCCCTGAGGATACTCAAATATATAAATCCTTTAAGTACCCACTTCTATATTACCCTTCAACTTTTGATAGTACAATGACAAACCATTTGAAGCACTTCTCAGGCCTCCATCTATGGTACAGCATATGGCACTTACGTTTTAAGCCCCAAAACGTCTATGTAATACGAATGAACTGATACAGTTCTACTGCACCTCATTTGGCAAAGATACCACCAAAATGAACATGCAGCAAGATAGAAGGTTTCAACCACAACATAAACTGGAGCATAAACAGCTTGCCAGAACAATCCACGATGGCAAGCAAAACCACCTTGTTGTTGTAAATAAGACACCTACAATCTGGAAAGACCAGTAAAACAGTTGTGATCTGCATACTCCGGCACATATTTTTCACCCACAAAATATACAGCCAATTCACTTTACAGTATATTCTGTGATAAACTTTGATACATCTCGAAGATGTGATAAGACGTTATATGAAGTGCAAGGATTATTATTATTACTCTCTCTCCAGCAAAAACATAATATTTAAGATCACTTCAGAAAGCAGTCTCTATTCTGTCAGTGCTGCATTAAAGTGCTTCTAATCACTGCTTGGTTCCAAGGATGAATAACACAGCCAATTCCCAATCTCAGATGAGTAGTCAAATACTAGCACTTTAAGGGACACAAATAATCAATTGTTGTAGTTTCTCTCTGCTCCATACATTGACTGTCAGAAAAGTAACATATACCAAAGAGCAAATCACCTAATCACTTCTTGGCTTTGAAATAGTGCAATACAAAGGAACACAAGACAGACATGACTTTAATATAATGATCCTTATATTTGATAGACGTTAGGAGGTCATCTGAAAATGCTTCACCGGATTTACTGTAAAGTGTAATGACTGTATTTTATAGGCAAACATATGGACAGCTGATGAGTACTAGAGATTTACCATTGTCAGAGTTCAACGAGATTGAAAGTATCGAGACTCACCTGTCGTTCACAGTATGCTTTCATCAGTTTGCTCAGCGGTGTGTGCTTCTTTATCTTAAATTGTACAACGGAGCCATCTTGCCCCGCGACCTTCAGGTTGATGTGATCATTCCCTTCATTTTTCAGGTCCTATAATTTAAGATATAGTGGTAATGTTCATTAGGTCATACCAATATTAAGGCAATAAAAGTGCGTTCAAAACACTGGCTATCTAAATCTGTACAAAAAAAATCAGGAACAGAATATTTTATGAATAAATTACTGAGATATTTAAGACAAAGCAAAGATGAACCTCATAGCTTTGCATATGTTGTTTGGTATTTTACTTACCAACAGATACTTTTGGCTTTTACTAAATATCAAATGTGGAAAGCAAGAGATTACTGATCCAAAACGAAGGACTTGGTTAGTTTTGAGATAGCTGACCAGTTTTGCATTAGCTAGATTACAAAATACAGTAAACCTCGCATAAATCTGTTCTGTATAAATCGTATGATCGGCCAAGTTGTACATCTGCCTAAACCCTGTTGTATTTCCTATGAAATCCATTTATAGTTATCTGCACTAATGGTATTAACAATCGAGCAACTCATAATGTCGCTGCTGCACTTGCCGCTACCAAATTTATTGGCTGCTGGATCAAAACTGTGATTCCCACACTTGCCTCAAACAGGGAGCACATGCTCACCCCAATGCACCCTCCCGGGATTGTAACGTTAATGTTATTATGCATGGCAGCGGGCGGGGGGGGGGTGGAGCTGAGAGAAGAGTGTCACCTGATAGTGAGCGAGGGGCAAAGAATGCCTCATCGCATGGAGACTGAAGGAGATTTGTCACCACATGCGCAATTGCCAGCCATGAAGCAGCATACACAGTGCTCCATGTGAGACAATCACGGGAACCTGAATCCGGTCGCTGGACAGTTAAGGATTTCACCTGAGCTGGGGTTGGGATCAGGATGAGTGGTGGGCAGAAGGGTGACTGAAGGCACAGTCGAAGAGGAAGGTCTTGAGATGGGCCTCGAAGGAGGCAAGGGAATGGGCGAAACAAAGGGACCATGGGATCGAATTCGTAAGGGTGAGAGCAGAAAGGCTGAAGGCCCAACCCCGAGGCTGGTGCAGGAGGACACGCAACAGGCCAGAGTCTGCCGAGTGGAGAGGTATGGGATTAGCAGATCACTGAGGGAGGGAGGAGCAAAACCATGGAGGGCGTTGAAAACGAGGACTTTGAACACTATCCTCTGGGGGATGGGGAGCCAGGCGAGGATGGGGGTGATAGGTTCACTGAGCTTGGTGCGGGAGAGAATACGAACTGCAGAGTTCAGAATAATCTGCAGCTTGTGGAGTTGGGAAGACCTGTACTGTACAATGAATAATAAACAAAAAAAATTGGTCACTCAATCCACAACTGTTTGTGGGATACTGTTGTGCGCAATTGGCTGCCGCGTTTCACCCACAAAATATACAGTCAATTCACTTTACAGTATATTCTGTGAAGTGCTTTGCGGTGTCTTGAAGACAGGATGAGGCATTATATCAAATGCAAGGATTATTATTATTATAATATAATTTGTGTTTAGACGAGCTATCCGCATTGCCTGATGCCATGATGGCTGGTCAAAACCTCGTCTTCCGTACTCATTCACTGTTCTGTACTGCGCAGCGTTGGAGCCAGTAAGTGCGCATATGGAGAAGGATCAGGACTTAGGTTCCCGTAAATGTTTCACAAGGAGCACTGCGCATGCTACTTGAAGGCTGGTAAGTGCGTTTGTGGTGAAGGGTCCCCTTCGATCTCCACGTGACCAGGCATTCTGCATCCCTGGCTCATTACGTGATCAGGTAATGTTCTTTCCTCTCAGCACCCGCCGCTGTGTGCGATGACGTTGATGTTACGCACCTGGGAGGGAGGATCTGGTGTTCCGTTTGAGGCAAGCAAGGGAAACAATGTTTTATTCCAGCAGCCGGTAATAATAATAATAATAATCCTTGCATTTGATATAGCGCTTTTCACGTCAGGAGGACGTCCCAAAGCGCTTCACAGAACACACTGTAAAGTGAATTGACTGTATATTTGTGGGCGAACGCGGCAGCCAATTGCGCACAGCAATGTCCCACAAACAGTCGTGGATTGAAAATGACCAATTTATTATTGTTTTGTTTTGGAGGGATTATTATTAGGCTCTGTGTGGAGTAAGGAAACTTGCCCAAGGTTTCGCCCTCTGCCTGGAATTGAACTCAGGTCTCTCGCTTGCAAAGCGAGTGCTCTAACCACTGAGCTACAGGACTCCAAAGTGCGGTAGCAGCGTAACCGCAGTGTTAATACGACTAGTGCATATAAATTTAAGTGGATTTAATAGGAACATGAACGGGACTCAGGTGGATATATGACTTAGGCGATTATAGGATTTATAATAGATGAGATTTAGGCGTTTTACTGAACCTAGATTTGAACACTACCAAAACGATAACAATATTTATGACAAGAGTATTTCAATAATATTAGGAAGTGAAAGAACTTGTAATAGAGACACAAGCATAACACAGGAGGTTTGATATTAAATTTCCCATAGTTTTCCTTTTAAAACTAGTAGCAGAATATTTGATATGCAAAATGGATCTTTAACTATGCAACTCAGTCTTGTGCTGACATTATGTTTTGAAGCGACATTCCAAATCAATTGAGAATATTTAACAAACCAGAACAGTTAAAGATTATAAATGCATTCATAAACCTTCAGTGAACTGTAACCTTTAAAGGTAACTACTTAATTACTGCTGTGTACAACTGGCTGCTGGACTTCGCCCACAAAATACAGTCTTTACAATATATCCCGTGAAGCGCTTTTAGACGTCTGAACAATGTGATAAGGCTCCATATCAAATTCAAGGATTATTATTAATTGCAAATAAAAATCTGATCAACGCCCCATTTTGGTTAGAAGTATAATCCTTGCATTTCATATAGCAACTATGTTGTCAAAATGGTTTAAAGAGGTTCACAGGATTTAATGGTTTACTGTAAAGTGTAGTAATTGTATCTGTAGGCAAAATGGTACCAATTTGTACGTGGAAATGTTCAACAAACAGCCGTGACCATTTTTATCCAACAGATTGTTGACCCAAACACCCCTTTCTTTTTTGAATAGTGTCATGATATCTTTAACATCCACCTGAACGGGCACGGTTGGAATCTCCCGCAGCATTACACTGGCGTGTCAGCCAAGACAAATTGGCTCCAGGACTCTCCCCGCATGAAGGGCGCTGTGTAAGTGCAAGTTGTTGTGGGGCTGAAAGTTCCAGTGTGGGGCTCGAATCCACGACCTCTGGTTCAGGAAGCGAAAATGTCCACATATATCCCATAAAGGCTGGTGAACCCCAACTGATCCCCTGCCCCCTCCCCGGGGCCTGACTGAAAGGGTCAATCCGGGGGGGAGGAGGGTCAGGCCCGAGGGGAAGAGGGGGTGGTCAGTCAGGTCCGGGAGAGTCAGTCTGGCCCGGGGGAGGGGGTCAACTTGGCCCGGGGGGGGGTCAGTCTGGTCCGGGGGAGGTCAGTCTGGCCCCGGGAGGGAAGTGGGGGCGGGCGGTCTGGTCAGTCAGGCTCCTGGGGGGGGGGGAGGGTCAGTCAGGCCCCGGTGGGGAGCGGGGGGGGGGGGGGGGTGAGGGCTGTTTGCTGGAGACGCGCCGAGGCCGAGTGGTGGCGGTGTGATGCCGCCTCAGGCAGCGGCTCCCGGGGAAAGCCGAGCTCTGAAACCCCCGCCAAGGGCCGCGAGCCCGGGCCGAGGACGCCCCGCTCCCTGCCCGCCGCGGGCTCACCTGGCCCGGCCCGGGCGGTGTGTGTGAGGCCCGGGCGGTGTGTGTGAGGCGCGGGCGGTGTGTGTGAGGCGCGGGCGGTGTGTGTGAGGCGCGGGCGGTGTGTGTGAGGCCCGGGGGGTGTGTGTGAGGCGCGGGGGGTGTGTGTGAGGCGCGGGCTCGCCCGGGCCGGCCCGGGGGGTGTGTGTGAGGCCCGGGGGGTGTGTGTGAGGCCCGGGCGGTGTGTGTGAGGCCCGGGCGGTGTGTGTGAGGCGCGGGCTCACCTGGCCCGGCCCGGGCGGTGTGTGTGAGGCCCGGGCGGTGGAGGGGGCGGTGTGTGTGAGGCCGGGCGTGTGTGTGAGGCGCGGGCGGTGTGTGTGAGGCCCGGGCGGTGTGTGTGAGGCGCGGGGGGGGGGGGGGTGTGTGAGGCGCGGGCTGGGCCGGCCCGGGGGTGTGTGTGAGGGGCCGGGGGGGGGTGTGTGTGAGGCGGTGTGTGTGAGGCGCGGGCGGTGTGTGTGAGGCCCGGGCGGTGTGTGTGAGGCCCGGGCGGTGTGTGTGAGGCCCGGGCGGTGTGTGTGAGGCCCGGGGGGTGTGTGAGGCCCGGGGGGGGTGTGTGAGGCGCGGGCGGTGTGTGTGAGGCGCGGGCGGTGTGTGTGAGGCGCGGGCGGTGTGTGTGAGGCGCGGGCGGTGTGTGTGAGGCCGGGCGGTGTGTGTGAGGCCCGGGGGGTGTGTGAGGCGCGGGTGTGAGGCGCGGGCTCACCTGGCCCGGGCCGGGCGGTGTGTGTGAGGCGCGGGCGGTGTGTGTGAGGCGCGGGCGGTGTGTGTGAGGCGCGGGCGGTGTGTGTGAGGCGCGGGCTCACCTGACTCGGGCCTTTGCCTTTCTCCTCCGCCATTTGCCGCTCTCAGGCTCGCGGCTCCCGCTCACTGCGCGCGCACCGGCACGTGACTCCCCACGCGGGGCGGGGCCACATGACGTGTCCGCCCGCAGCCTCTCGCGCTCCCAATCGCAGCCGCGCCAACGAGTAATAATTACTGCCCAATTAATAATAATGCTACAGATCAGACAGAGGACTAATACATGCATTACTGCACAAAATTACACGTGCGTTCGCGCCTTTCGCGTCGGGAGGGGCCGGACAAGTCAGGGATTCGGATCAGTAATAATTACTCTTGAATTAATAATAATAATAAATAAAATAGTCCTAATCAGAGAGTAATAATTTCTCTTAAATTCATAGTAATACAAATAAAATGGTCCTAATCAGTAATAATTTCTCTTACATTCATCGCAATGCAAATAAAATAGCCCTAATCAGTAATAATTATCTTAAATTAATAATAATAATACAAATACAATAGTCCTAATCGGGAATAATTCCTCTTAAATTCATCATACAACTAAAATAACTAATAATAATTACTCTGAAATGAATAAGAACAATAATCCTGACATTTTATACAGCGACTCTCATGTTGGGAGAACAACTCAGAGCTTCTCAGGGTTTCCAGTGGAGTGGAGTGACTGTGTTTTGCGAGTGAATACAATGGCCAATGGACAGAGTGACTAATTTGATCTGGGGGATTGTCGACTAAGAGGTTCCCTTCTCTATTCAAATGAATCAAATGAAAGGGATGATCTGGAATTAAATAATAATGAATGAAATTAAATAATTTTTTGTGGAGCATCTCAAGATTAGTTTGAATGAACGGCAACAAGATGGTGAAATCCTACCTCACTGTTACACTGGAATGACTATTTTCCACATGTATGTGTGAGCGATGATTTGAGGGCCCACCAAACCCCCCAAAAATCACACCATTAACCCTGTAAGTCTCTTGTTTAATTTCTGGCTGTGCTTTATATGATTGTGAATACCTGCACTTCTTCTATCGCGCTTTCGGACACCCTCCTATCCCCACCCTCCCTGCTCTCCAACTCTCCTTGAGATAAGGGAGCCCATGGATAAGGGACCAAATCCCTGACTCTCCAGCTCCTTGGGTCGTCCTCCTGTTGTGAAAGGTGCCTTACTAATGTAATTTGTTGCTGTTGCAGCACACACCAGTGAGAGGATGAGTGATCGGCAATGCTGCCTATAAGAGCGGCCCGGGGAACCTGTGCTCTCGGTGCCTGGATGGAACCATCCCCAGTGTAACTGTGACACTGTTGGTGGTGGAGTGCTCCCATTCTCTCTGCTTCTCAGTTTCAGACTTTGGTGACTTGTCTTTTCAGAATCTCACTTGCCACAATTGCACAGTGAGCAATGGGACAGCAGTGCGTGTAGAGGGCCTGGCACTGAACCCACAGCAATACAATCTTCTGTCGCCATTCACACCTAGATATCAGTAGTTGTTACACACCAGCAAACCCACAAACTCCTCACTTTCCCTGTCGCCAGCCACTAGATCACTAGAACAATTTGTTTTGTGTTTATCAGAATGGATTTTCTCTCCCACATTAGGAAGCACGTGTTAGGATTTCCGATCCCGTGGTTCGAAATATAACTTGACAATCCAATACTGGTGCAACAGTAGTTTTATTAATCAAAGTACCTTTAACAAAGCACTAATAATATACAGGTATATTAAAATGTATACTACTGGCTCCGGAGCAGTCGATGGTGATGGCTTCAGATGACTTTAAGATGTTTCCGAAGGGTCTCTCTATCCCTGAGTCTGCTGCCCAACTGTTCTAAAGTTAGGGTAGTTATACTTTTCTCCCCCCATGCAGCCACCCCTGAGTTTGCTCAATCAGGGTAATGCCTCGTATACTTTCTTTGTGTTAGTTTCTTATCTACCTTTGACCGACATCTGAGGCCTCTTGAGTTAAACCAGATGGCTCATCATTCTCTGTTGGATGACAACTTGCTTTTCTCGAGGCCGGTGCCTATCTCATGCTGTTACAGACCTTTCATCGACATGACGAGGTTTTACTCAAATGAGGTTAATGGCGCTTAAGAATGGTGAAGTGTGTTAACAGGAGTGTATGTTTCTATCTTATCAGAGTGAGACCAGCTCCTCATGTCTCGAGGAGTGTGCTGAGCCTGTCCTGTACCACCCGTGATGCCTCGTTCCTTCCCCTGAAAGCTTCTTTATCTAATCTGAAGTATCACCACCGACTGATCGTTGCCTCAAAAGTAAATTCATAAAAATATATTCGAGGATAACATTATTCTCAAATTGACCTTTCTCAACACACGTATGTGTTTAGTAGGCACAAAGGGAGTTTCATTTTTTTGTTATCATTCTTTAACATTGTTATATGAAAGTTAGCTTTTATTCACCAAGTTGAACACCCTATTCTGTCGTCTTGTGTACCTGTGTTTCTTTTGAGGACCGATGAAATATTATAGGTTGAAGTTTACTAAGGATCCTTCCTCTGTGCTTTTGCTTTTATTCTGTTTCTTTCTCTCACGTAGCAATGCTCTGGTGGAAAAAAAGGCCGCATTTCTCATTGACAAACGTCAGTAAGCAAGAAAATCTGTGGTGGAAAATGACTGGAATTTATCGTCGTCAGGAAGAATAACAAGAGATCTGAGTGAGTGAATGAGGGTGTGTCAGTGCAAGACCATCTGTGCAGTGTGGTAATTTGGTCACTCAATCCTGGACTGTTTGTCAGAACCTGCAATTGCCTGCGTTGTTTCTCTCACAAAATACAGTCACTGCATTTTAGTGTATCCTGTGAAGCAATTTGAGATGTGTCAATTATGTGATAAAGGTACTATAGTAACAACAACAACTTGGATTTATATAGCGCCCTCCATGCCGGACGGCGTCTCAGAGCGCTTTACAGTAACAGATCCCGGGACCGAGCCAGGGGGAGGGGAGGAAGGTGACCAAAAGCGCGGTCGAAAAGAAAGGTCTTCAGCAGAGACCTGAATATAGGAAGAGAGGGGGTGAGGCAAAGGGAGTGAGGAAGGGAATTCCAGAGCGAGGAACAACAACAACAAGATTCCATTTATTGAGCGCCTTTCACGTCGGGAGGACGTCCCAAGGCGCTGTACAGTTGGGTCAGGACCCGAGCATTGGGGGGAAATGGTCAGGGTGAGGGGAGGGAAGGGAGGGAGCGAGGAGGGGGTATAGAGTCGAGAGGGGAGCTGAAGGCACGGTCAAAGAGAAAGGTCTTGAGACCGACCTTGAAGGAGGAAAGGGAGGAGGCGGCGAAGGCACTGGGGGATGGAGTTCCAGAGCCTGGGGCTGAGAGGCTGAAGGCCCGGCCACCGATGGTAGGGCGGTTGGGGCGGGGGATGTGGAGCAGACCGGAGCCAGAGGAACGGAGGGTACGGGCAGGTAGGTAGGGGGATAGTAGGTCGGAGAGGTAGGAGGGAGCAAGGCCGTGAATGGCCTTGTAGGTGAGGATGAGGATCTTGAATTCGATCCTCTGGGGGATGGGGAGCCAGTGGAGGCGAGCGAGGGTGGGAGTGATGTGGGCGCGAAGCCTGGTGCGGGACAGTACACGAGCTGCAGAGTTCTGAATGACCTGCAGCTTGTGGAGGGAGGTGCCGGGAAGGCCGGCGAGGAGAGAGTTCCCATAGTCCAGCCTTGAGGTGATAAAGGCGTGGACCAGAGTTTCAGCAGCGTGAGGGGTGAGGTAGTGCCGTAGTCTGGCGACATTCCGGAGGTGATGGAAGGCGGTGCCAGTTGTGGCGCGGATATGAGGGAGAAAGGACAGCTCAGGGTCGAACAGAACGCCGAGGTTCCTGACTGGCTTTGAGAGGTGGAGAGTGCAGCCTTGGATGCTGATGCTGTCAGCGCCTGAGGTGCGGAGGCGCTGACGTGAGCCAATCAGGAGGGCCTCAGTTTTGCGCACGTTGAGCTGAAGAAAGTTGTCTCTCGTCCAGGACTCGATGTCGGACAGGCAGCTGTCAGGACATCGGGGTCGTGGAGTTGAGGGTAGAGGAGGAAAGGTAGAGTTGGGTGTCATCCGCATACATGTGGAAGTTAACCCCATGTCTGCGGATGATGTCACCACAGGGGGAGCATATAGAGGGTGAAGAGGAGGGGACCGAGGACAGAGCCTTGAGGGACACCACATGAGACAGTGCGGGGGCCGGAGGAAAAACCATTTGTGGAGACAAAGTGAAGACGGTGGGAGAGGTACGACCTAAACCACTCAAGGACAGGGCCTTGAAGGTTGAGGTAGGAGGACAAGCGGTGGAGGAGGATAGCATGGTCGACCGTATCGAATGCTGCCGATAGGTCGAGGAGGACGAGGAGGCAGAGGGAGCCCTGGTCACAGATGGTCAGGATGTCATTGGTGACCTTGACCAGGGCAGTTTCTGTGCTATGGGCAGCACGGAAACCCGATTGAAGGGGTTCGAATAGTGAATGGTTGGAGAGGAAAGAGCGCAGCTGGGAGGCGGCAACTCGTTCCAGGACCTTGGATAGGATAGGGAGTTCCAGAGCCTCGGGGCATAGTGGCTGAAGGTACGGTCGCTGAGGGTGGAGCACAGGACTCGGGGGACGAGGAGACCAGACCCGGAGGAACGAAGGCAACGGGTACTGTTTTGAGGAGAGAGATCAGAGAGGTAGAGGGGTGCAGAGGAATGCAGGGACTTGAATACAAGGGTGAGGATCTTGAAATCGATCCTCTCTGGGACAGACAGGCAGTGCAGTCTGGCAAGGACTGGGGTGATCCGGGAGCGGAGTTTGGTGCGGGTGAGAATGCGGGCAGCAGAGTTTTGAATGATTTGAATTTTATGGATGGTAGTGGATGGGAGACCGACCAAGAGGGCGCTAGAGTAGTCCAGCCGAGAGGTGACAAAGGAATGGAACAAGGTTTCAGCAGCTTTTGGGGAGATGTATTGGCGGAGATGTAATACAAGGATTATTATTATCTACACAAATCGTGGTGAGGCGTGTGGTTTCATGGAGGTAGATCATGCCTCACAAATCTTGAGTTTTTGACAGAACCACGGAGGTGATA